CAAGACTGAGACTGGTGGTATGTACTGCTGGCCTATGGAATTGCCATAATCCATTTTTTGGGCTGGTTGCCACTTAGTTAATAGGATAATAAAAGTGGAAGAATTACAATCTGGACTCAGAGGTGTGATGGAAGCAAATGAGCTCTGGTTCAGCCTGTTTTCCTGTTCACCCTACTAGGCAGCCACTTAATAGCTGACTAGGAAGCTGGATACTTCTACATAAAACTTAATGTTGTAGGCTATATATAGGTGCCTTTTTTTTTTTTTTTTTTTTTTTTTAAGAAAGAGTGTGCTTGCTTATTCAATACTGTTGTTGATTCTGCAGAAGAGCTTAAGTCTGGCTGGCTGGTTTTCTCCAGCAGTCAGCATGTATGTCATGTTGAGATGCACCCTGACAGCAGTGGGCTGACAGCAGCCCCTCCCTGCAGACAGCTCCTGCCTGCCTGCAGCTGAGTGGGGGCTGCATCTTGCTGATGGCTGCTGCTATTTTGTTGATATTGGATTGTCATCGGGTACTTCTAGATGAGGAAAGCAAGTTGGAGATGGAGAGTTGAAGCTAAAATGCATGTTGAACAGTGTAGATGAGAAGGAAGGTTTGTGTTAAATCTGAACTTAAACGTTTTTGTGGTTTTTGCTTCTTGCTGTTTTAGGACAGCATGTCTAGCCATAAGAACTTGCAGACTGTCTGAAAGTGGTCACATTACAGCATTCAGAATTTTGGAGTCCACAGCAAGAGTGGCAGGAGAACTTGCATATCACACCCACAAATTCTTAGTTGTAATAATAATAAAAAAATCCCAGACCCACTAAAACCCTCCTTCCAAACCCTTCATCCATTGGCTCTTCTAGGTGGCATCTCTAAAGTTGCCTGTTTCCAGTTGAGCTAAAGTCCTCCCAAATACTAGTGTTGAAGCAAGAGGGAGGGCCTATGGCATGGATTCCTGCTGCATGCCTGGGCTTCCCATAAAAATGTGCCCTTTGAAAGTAGAAGTCCAGTGACTGTCAGCAAGTATGAGTCAGCTGTGCAGGAACTTTGATCTCCCAAGCACACATCTTCTACTGGAAACCAGGGAACATTGCTCTCTGACACACCTGTAAGGGCATCTTGCAGATGTTAACATAAGCACTGTGACATGAACAAAGCAAGTTATGCAGATGACTGCTTTCTCCAAGAAAGGTTACATTAAAGCTGTCTGCAATGATGCTGTATAGAGTTGGTTCAGCCCTGCTAAATGATCTTGGCAGATGAGATCCAGCAGCTCGCTTCCTCCAAGCCACAGGAAGGCAGGGACCAGTGGCTGTCTCCTGCATGGAGAGGGCTCCTTTAATCTGCGGAAACATGGCTGGTGTTATGGAGTAAACATGCTCTCACAGCTGAAGGCAGGCAATTTGTTTCTGTCCACCTAACTCATTGAAGCTGAAAGCCAAATGCAGCTGGGGCTGGTGGAGATGAATTGTCAAGGGGCCGGGCTTTTTGGTTCAGAAGCACTGACACAAGTGTGCATCTCTATATTGTGAATTTACTATGAGCTTCAGTGGAGCAATTGAGAAACATGACTTTAAAGGTTCTGTAAAGCACTGACTGTGTGAGTAATAAGTATGCCTAAAAGTAATTTTTGTTATAGGAAAGCAGTGGTGGAAGTCTGCTGTTTATGTAATCTGTTTTCCAGCCTGAGATGGCCAGAAAGTGTCTTGAAGCAGACTAGGGAACAGAGGGAATTCAGTGGCAAGCCAGCTGAGCTGGGGTACAAGCAGGGCCTGCAGTAATGATTGTTGGTGCTTAAGTGTCATTGGAATATATTCTTTTTTCCACTATCCCTACACCTTGGCAGTATTACACTTAACAGTGTGCACTCAGAGCTGGTGGGGGATGCTTGTAAATTTGGTTGTACTAAGTGTTCACAGGGCCAGCTCTGTGCTCCCTGTACAGGACCTGAATGGATGCATATCTTCCTGGTTGCCACTTTGATCTTAAAGCCCAAGATGCACTGGATGTCTTTAATCGATTAATGAGAAAGGCAGCACTAAAGCAGAGGCTCTTCTGGTGAGGCTGAGTGCTCAGGTGGAGCTGAGCTTTACAGCAGTGCATGGAAGCTAAGCCTGTTATGAGCTGGACTTTAGTCTTGAATGTGGAGGGTTCTATTATATAGTGATAGATTGTGAGCCAGTGCTGGGAGTGGGGTGCCTGTGAGAAGGGCACACGGGCAGCTCTACTGGGTGCTGATAAGGTCTCCTGTCCTGCCCAGGAGTTCTTCTCCCTGCCTACTTCCCACCCCAAATGAAAGCAGACAAGTCCTCCTTCTTAGCTTGGAAAAAATTACATCATGAGATCCCTATGCCTGTCAGGAAGCTGGGAGGCTGTGAGGGCTTGCTAACTTGCTAACAAAGTGCAGTCGTGGCAATGGCACCAACCCCAGAGAGGAAGAGCTGTCCTGTTCCTGTGATGATCTTTTCCTGTCATCAGAGCAGCAGCCCTGTGCCCAGCCTTTCTGAGGCTGGCGAGATGGGATATTCTTGCTCTTGCTGTGAAGCCTGTACGGGCTGTTTTTCCCCAGGTCAAGAACCACAGCCCAGCTGTGCCTTTGGAGAGGGCAGTGGGGTGCTGGGGGAAGCTCTGAAGATGCAGCTGGGTGCTGCAGTAACCACAGTGCAACCACATACAGACATTATTTATGTGCTATAAATATAAAATGAGCTGTTCTTTATCTCAAGTAATTTGTGTATAGCATTGTACTCAAGGTGGTTCTGTCCTGCTGGCATTCCTCCCTGGAAATGCTGGATAGTTTTCTGAAATGAGCTTGCTTGTAGCATACTAAATCATTGCTATGTCCCTCTAGTAAAAATGCCAATGTCAATATAAATCTGAAACTGAAGCTTGGAGGCATTTCTGCAGCAGAGATGGGCTGGCCATTGGTGTGCTCCAGCACCACAGTGTGACCTGGTAGTTGTGCCATGGAGCGGGATGAAGGAGCTGCTGGTGCAGGGGGAGGGAAGGCTCTGACCTGTTTGTAGCTCAGCTGGAAAGAGGACAGAAACGGGTAACAGTAGGGCCTGTTTAGTTGTTGCTAGGAGACCCACTGTTTATGTGATGTAGACTTTTACCTTGGAACCTGTAATTAAAACCCAGTAGGGCTTAATCACCCCATAGCTATCTATTGTGTATCTTGGACTGGATGTGTAATCAGCAGTGAGCAGTCAAGTGGCAGATGCATATCGTAATCCTGTAAGATTAGTTGAAAATGATGTTAAAAAATCCCATACAAATAAATCTGAGTAGAAACCAGACACTAACTAGCGAGAAAGTCCAAATGCCTTTCAAGGTCTTAAGTTACACCATTATCTGTTTAGGACATGCTGCTCTATTGTGAAACCATGTAAATATTAACTGCTTTGCCTGAGCATTGGGTTAAAGGGTGATTACTATTCTTGGTCACTAGTCTGTATAAACACTTGTTTTGAAAGTTAGTAGATCTTGATAGATTGATAAGATGGTGCTGGATTGCTGCTGTGGTCTCTACAGCTGAAGAGGAGCAGGTAAGGCATGTCCAGTGGGTGTTGGGCACACACACTGTGGATGTGAACTGGAGAATGCAATCCAGTTACAGAACACTTTTACTTTGTTAGCTAGGACTCTATAAGATTTCTGTACAATAATTCTGGTGGCATGAAAGGGAGTTTACACAGCTGTAATTTTCTTTACTCCAGCATATGCTGCAGGAGCTGGAGAATAGAAGTTTCCAGGTCACTTGTAACTTCTGTTGACTGAAAAAGGATTTCAGTAACAGTTTGCACTGGAAATGGAGGAAAGAACCAAAAAATGCTGTGCTGTAACATTCTGCTGGGAATTAGAGGAATTGTCAGGCTGAGAGCATCCTGAAACATTGCAGAAGAGCTCTGATTTGTGTGAGCTTGAAAAAACTGGAGCTCTTAGCAGTGTAATACAGTCTGAGTAACAACTACAAGCTCAGAAGGAGGGAGGTGTGAGAAACTAAGCCCACGCCTCAAAATCTCAAGAGTTTAATAAGGGAAAAATCAATAAAGCAAAAGTAACAGTGCTGATTGTAACAGGGCATCCAGTCTGTCACTCAATGAAGCTGAAGTAACTTGCACGTGAATTCGCAGAACTGTAGTCACTTCACAAAGCCAGACTGATGCAGAAAGGCATCCTGCCCCTGCAGACTTTGCTTATGAAATCTGATCTCGATACCCAGCAGCCTTAAACTTAGCTCCATAGTGTGTCTTAAAGCAGAACAGCAGCATAGCCACTCTGGTGATAAATTTTTCTTAAGCCGAAGCATGATATGGAAAAGCCAAAGCTGGCTCTTCTTTTCTGTAGCTCTGAATTTGTAGAGTGAAGGGATGATGTCTTGTGTGATGGTGCAAAGGATTGTCCAGGGACTTCCACTGCCCACTTTGCTGATCATACACAGGTCTTGTTATATCCAGTACAGACCAATTCCAAACTCTGTATTTGCTTGTCTTCACTACATAGCAGCACTTGATTTTATTCCCTACCATTTTTAAGGCAAATTATTGATGTGTGTGTGAGATATGTTTCTGTATGTAAATGCTGTTTCCTAAATGATGCTTTTATCTATGCCCTGGAGTGTATCATGCCTATTGGGATGCTGGGTTTATGACCTCCATCACATGCTGTTTGGCCTTTTTCATAAGATACAAATGCCATTACAACATATGAGATGGTACTTATCCAAATCAAAATACTAGAGATCTTAAACTGCCACTTCTCCTAAGCTAAGATCATAAAGGTGGAGGGCAAGTGACAGCTGGAGAGTGCTGAGTTCTTTGACTCCTCTATTTTTGTCCTGTCTAATGCATCCTGTGAGGAGTGGTGTCTCTACCTGAGCAAATGCCTGCAAGTGACCTGGGTCAGTTTTCTTGTCCTTGATTACCTGCATGAGTGCAGGCACACTGTTCTAAAAACACACCTCTTTTCTTTAGAATGGCAGGTAATCCGTTGTATGCATTTTGTCTTCCAGATAGTAAAGCCATAGTTGATGGAAACCTGAAGCTGATCCTTGGCCTGATATGGACCCTTATCCTTCACTACTCCATTTCTATGCCAGTGTGGGAGGATGAAGGCGATGATGATGCAAAGAAGCAGACCCCTAAGCAGAGGCTGCTGGGCTGGATCCAGAACAAAATTCCTTACTTGCCAATCACAAACTTCAATCAGAACTGGCAGGATGGCAAAGCACTGGGTGCTCTTGTTGACAGCTGTGCTCCAGGTAAGTCCTCTGTTCTGATAGCCAGTGTTTTCCTTGCTTGTTATCCTTGTGGATATGCTGATAGCCAGTGTTTTCCTTGCTTGTTATCCTTGTGGCTGCTCTTCCTATGGGAGGAGATTTTCACTGCTGAGCTTGAGACTGGAATGAAGCTTTCAAGAAAACCAAAAGAGTCCAAAGAGACCAGGTGCAGGAAGCAGCAAGTTGTAAACTTCTTGGCCAAGAGAAATTCTGGCCTGTAGCAGAATGTGTGATTGCATTATGGGAGGCGCCACCTCTAAGCTTTGTATTGGTTGCAAGGGACAAAGGCACAAATGCTGGCTCCTAAATGGAAGAAAGGATTGTTCCCACGGCAAGTGCCAACAACCTTTCAGCTTCAGGGTGCAGTGGGAGACTTCATGTGTTCTCCTGAAGTAGGTTTGCAGAGGGAGCACCAAGCAGCCAGAAGCTGCACACTAACTGAAACTTCAGTGTTTAGCAAGCTGAGACTGAGCTGCTTAAGGCAAATAATTTGATGTAGTGTGAAAAAGGCAAATTTTCCTTACTTTTTTATAAAACAGCCTTGCTAGTGGGATTATAGGTGCTCATCTAATGCAATCTTCTGTGGCAAGCGGTTGAAATTTTCTTTACCAAATATGCTGCAAGAGAACCAGTGAAACACGAAGGATGGTAGATGTATTTGTGCTAAATTTAGAGTGGTATCTTGCACAAGTTACCCAGAGAGATGGTAGATGTCCCATCCTGGGAAACATTCAAGGTCAGGTTGCACAGAGCTCTGTTGAAGATGTCACTGCTTATTGCACAGGGAGTCAGTCTAGATGACTTTTAAAGATTCCTTCCAGCCTAAACCATTCTATGACTCTACACTGATTGTTGCCTTAGAGTTGTTTCAGTAAGCAGATGTGCTTGTCTTGTTTTGGCTACTTCTGCAAAGCTCTGAATGCCTTTCTGCAGAGCAGTGTAAGGAGTTTATACTTGGTTTCTTCAGCTAGGGAAGCACCTTGGCAGATAATGCACAACAATTGAAATGTACTTGCAGGTTTGTGCCCTGACTGGGAGACCTGGGACCCAAAGAAGCCCGTGGACAACGCTCGGGAAGCCATGCAGCAGGCGGATGACTGGCTGGGTGTGCCGCAGGTAAGGCCATCAACCTTGGGCTGCCCTGGGGAGCACAGTGGCCAGCTTTGGTCTTGTGACTAGCTGGAGTTTAAATTGAGGAAAGCAGGTGAAGCTGCTTGGATGCTTTGAAAAGTTACTCTTAACTCATGTAGAGTTGCCTGAGAAAGGGTGCACTGTAATGAAACACGCTTATGTTTCAGAGCTCTGGCTGTATTTGTGTAGGTGTCTCTGCTGAAGACAGCTGCTATTGCAGCATGTAAGGTAGGAGGAAAGGGCCTGTATGGTGGTGCCTGACATGTTAGTCCATGGAGTGATTTTTTTTTTTCCTGCACTGAATTCCACAGAAGAAAAACTTACTGGCTTAGGAAATCACCTGTGATGATAATGGTCAAACAGAGAGCAATGTATTTACAAACTGGATTATTTTCATGCTGATAAAGTTGGACGGAATTCCAGAAGTCTCTGAAGCAGCTTGTATTGTGGAAGCAGGAGTCACAAGTTTTACTTTGCAAGCCTTGCAGTTCAGAGCTGTTGTATACAGGATTATGAATTACTAACTTTTTCAGTGTCAATTATCCCCATGTCACTTTTCAAGGGGAACATAACTGCTGTTGTCTTGCGTTGGTACCATTAAGCTAGTTGGAGTCTCCTGAGAACCCCTAGTAATCAAGGCACAAAAAGCCCCCAAACCATACTGGGACAATAATGAGCTTCTTGATTTTCTTGCCTAATAAATGATGTTGTGTGTATCAAAGGGAAAATAAGTGAAAGAAATCCCATTAGCATGTGGGAGTTTTGAAATCTTAAGTCTGTGTCATAGTTCTGTTTCTGTGTTGACCTGCGGTAACCAGGCACTGGTACAATGTGCTTAATTGCTCTGTCTTTCAGGTTATTACCCCTGAAGAAATTATCCACCCTGATGTGGATGAGCACTCTGTGATGACTTACCTGTCCCAGTTCCCCAAAGCCAAGCTGAAACCAGGAGCTCCTTTGAAACCCAAACTGAATCCAAAGAAAGCGAGGGCTTATGGCAGAGGTAAGGGCTTGGTGAGCTGAAGCTGCACAGAGCAGTAACTCTTCAGAAAGCTGGGTGGGGTTTTCTGCTTATGTTGAACTTCAGACCTACTGTAACTAACTGACTTCAAAGTTTCACTTGTATACTCTTGGTGTGGTGCCTGGTTTCAGAAATACATGGATATAGTCCAGAAGGCACTCCTAGTTCTAACATGTAAATTTCCCAGTCTAAACCTGTTCTGCAAGCTGCTAGCCTCCCATCCACAGCTGGAAGAAGTAGCATGATATGGAGCTAAAACAGCCTTGGCGTGGAATTTAGGCCAGCAGTATTGCTGCTGATGGATGATGATCTAGCACTGAATGCTTCTTGTGATAAAGCACTCCTTAAAACCTCATCACCTCACTGTCTCTCTGGCAGGCTCTCTGTAGAGACAGTTTTCCATTTTCCAGGCTTGATGCGTGTTAGAGTGGGGTAATTCTAAATTACTTACTTGAATTGATTGAGAGTGTTAATACTTTGCACATGTACAAATATGGGTTGGTAGCCCTTGAGACATTAAATAGTGCTGAGCCTTAGTTAGAAAGGCTGTGTTTACTCATTGGAAGGACTGAAGGCTGAATTTGCTGATTGTCCATAGATGCTTATGCAACTGTAGATCTATGTAGGCATTCTTATTTTTAACTGACCTTTTAAATTGATAATTTCATATAACTATTGATGAGGTTCTATTTTAGATTGGTGCACAGTCACAACTGAATAAGTAACAGATTTTTACCTTTAATATGGTTGGCATGTTGGAAGACATCTCTTCAGCATTACACTTGGCCCTCCATTACACCAGTTTTTTTTTTTTCCCACATCTCTGGGCCTGCTGTTGGTCCTTCAAGATTTTTAGGATGAGTGTGTTTCAGAATTGGGTGTACAAGAGTGAAATTGAAAGAAACAAAACTTTCCTTAGTTTTTTTCTGGTTTTCTTATTTACCTGGGTTTTTTAAACTTGATTTTCCGTTGAAACATAACTAGTGGAATGAAGGGACATGGACTTCATTTATGCACCTAAGAGCAGTTGGTACAGTCAGAGTGGGTTTAGCACCTGTGCAACTTGGGGTTTATGTCCTTTGTTGGTGCCTTCCACGGCAAACCACAATACACAGACACATTTTTCAGGGCCCAAATGTGTAAACGATTGATCAGCCTGCCTCAGTCTGTCTTAGTCATGTTTTTATTCATTCAAAAACTGGAATTACTTTGTCTGCTTTCATGTGTCTCTGGAGCCTTTGTAATGAAAATTACTTTAGAGTGATTGGCTCTTCTTGAAAGATTGATATTTTCATTAAGTTAATTGCCAAAACAGAGTCACTAAATATACTAATTGGTAATTCTGACTGCAAAGATACGTTAGAACTGGAAGGTGACTCTGGCAGCAAGGAGCTCAGTCCTTGACTGAGCAGGGTCTTTTGGACAGGTGAGAAACAGGTTTTATGCTTCCAGAAGAAGACGACTGTCCAGTGCAAAGTGGGTCAATCTTTGGTCTTTTTATTATCCTTTTTCATGTAAGCTATTCATAACCTCCCAACAAGAGTCCTGGCTGTAGCACTGTGGGGGTTTGTGCCAAGGATAGCCATGTGTAGAGCTGGTGTGAAATGAGCCTGCAGAGGGGATGTACAGAGTTGTGTAGGTCATCAGTGGTGGACTAGGCATTTTCGTTTAACCATCCAAAGCAGGCCACTGATAAGATAGTAAAATCTAGAAGATGAAGTCTAGGCTAAGAAAGTGCTGTAGCTAATGGTGTTCTGGCTGAAATTGTCTTCAGAGGAGGGTAATCAATCCTTATGCTTGCAGAAGGTGTGATACTTAACTTGAAGGCCATATCCTAAATGCTTGTGGGATGGACTGGAGAGACACAGAGCAAATACACAGCAGTTTCAGCTAGATGATAATCTAGGGCTTAGTTTAAAAGAATGAATATGTCAATTGTTAACACCTTATCAGAATGCTCAGATTTCCTAGCAAAAACATGGTCTTCCTTGCATTACTCTCAAGTTACTGTTTTCTGAAGATAAACAAGTTCAGGAATTCTGTTGTTCACAACCACTTCCTTTATAATCTATCAGACGTTGCACTTTCCACTAATTGTGCTATGGAGCTGTAGTGCCCACGGTTCTATGAATCAGCCTTGGACAGAAGGGTATGGATGTGTTTGGGCTAGTCTGGAATCAGCAACTTTGGGAAGTTCTTCCACCCACTCAGTCTGACACCACCATGACAGATGTCATGACCTGGGACTGTGTACAGGGAGATGATGAAACCCTGCTGGTAAATGCATGCTGTAGCAGGCCCTATGCTGGGGAATAAGGAAACTGATTAAAAGTTAAGTGGAAACCACACCGAGTAGCAGGATTTTTACTGTTTTAAGAGGTTCCTTCATGCCATTTGTACAGTGGACACTCTGGCCAGGTAGTCTGAGCAGATTTCAGAGGATAGTAAATCTGAGCAGTACCTGCACTGCTGGATTTTGAAAATGGAGTGAGATGGGGCAGTACAGGTAAAAATTGTCTTGCTTAAAGTAAGTCTTTTACTCTTGGCTCTAGAATAATGCCTTCACCTAAAGGCTTCCCAGAATTTCTCTCCTGCTTCTCTAGTCACCCATCCTGTGGTGCAACAGCTGTGTGACGAGAGCAGCTCCTAAAGAGCAGCTAATGCACATTTCCCACTTGCTGTCAGCATCAGCCCTGCACTTACCAGCAGGGTGACCCTCAGTACCTGTCAGGGTAACTGGTTTTCACCTGAATCCAGATAGCAGCTGGGTTCCTGACTTGGTCAGAGATTTTAAGATGAGTTGAGTGCTGATGATTCAACCAATTTTTAAAAATACTTGTATTGTAAGAGGAGGCCTTGTTGTGAGCATCATGCTGTGGGCAGCGGGTAAAGACATGATGTGCAGAAGTCTGGGGAAACTGATTCTGATGGCTTGCAAGGGAGAATGGGTTGGACAGCCTTTGGGTCGCCTCCAAACTGTCTTCCAGGTTTTGTGACAACAGCTAATGTGCTGTTCTGTATCTGTCTCACAGGGATTGAGCCTCATGGGAACATGGTGAAGCAGCCTGCCATCTTCACAGTGGACACCATCAGTGCTGGGCAGGGTGACCTGATGGTCTTCATAGAAGATCCAGAAGGAAACAGAGAGGAGGTATGTACGTTGAATGTCTTGTATGGAAAAGTCAAATTGGTCTGAACGCTGTAGTTTTTGCGGTAACCTTCATCTTTCACAAGTGAGTTCTTAACAAATAAGTAATCTAAAAAGAAATTGCAAAATACCGTTTATCTAAAGTGCAAGAAGCCTCAAGCTTTTCTTCATAATTGCCTTGAAAAACAGTCACTACCTGCAACTAAGCAACACAGCTCCAGTGTCCAGTAGTTGCAGAGCTTTAGCTTGACTGGCCAAGTACACTCTGACCTGCTTTTAGATAACATACATCAGTAAATCACTGTCTGCATTTACTCATTCTGCAAGAATGGCTAAAGCAACTATTTAGATGCCATCAATCATTTTGAGTTAAAATGCTGGTTTTAATGTTTATAGAAACTTCTCATCCAAGTGTTCCACTTGATCATGTTACAGCATTCCAGAAAAATACAGCTGTACATCGGACTTACTGTCTTCTCATTTTTGGCCTGCCTCAATAGAGCAATTAACAGCAAAGGAAAGGGCTGGGTTGGGGAGAAGGTAGCTTGCTTCCTCTCTTGCGAAGACAAAACCAATGGGATTTTTTCTGTGTGAGAAGAGGGGATAGCAAGGATCCCTGCTCTCACAGCAACAAGTGTCTAACAGTGCTGACTCTGGAAACAGATTGCAGTATCAGTAAAGAGTTCAGCTGGCGTGCATAGGCACAGCTTGATGATGGATGTGTTTTCTCTCCTAGGCGAAGATAACGCCGTCCAGTGACAAAAACAAGACCTACTCAGTACAGTATGTTCCAAGGGTTACTGGACCTCACAAGGTGGGTTTTGTGTCAATAACCAGTATTCTCTTGCTAGACACACTGCTCTGCTGGTTGTTAACATGAGCCCCTGAGGGCTCCCTGTTCACTGATGGGTAAGAGCCACCTCAGGAATCCTGAAGAAAAGTTAAATTGATGTGGTCTTAGTTTTCCATCTGGCTTTTGGGCTGCTCCCTTTGCAAGGGGGAAAGAAGTGTGTGTTGGGAAAAACTGCATTTGTGTTTGGGTATCAAGTGCTATAGCTGGACCACTTTGTGCAACTCACAAAGCCAGTTTTATGGGTTGTCACAAGAGATGCAGAAGAAAACAGCAGGTTGTTTCTGTGAGGTATGCTGATGGTACTGTACACTGTAAGGATTTTGCAGAGAAGGATTCCCTCCCTTTGTCCTTGGATGCCCGTAGTTGCAGGTTTATGATAGGTGATCCTGTTGCTTTGACACTTCCTAGGGTGACTGGTCCCCACAGCCAGCCTGAAAAGATAAAATGCAAGTTCTGCTGCCACCTTATTGCTGGATGGAGATCCACCTTACATTGGCACATCCTGATTCAAGCTTCCATGCTGGTGTGCCTGACTCTGTAATCAACAGAACTTTAAGAAGGTGGCCAGCAGTTAGCATGGATGTGATGAGGGTTGTGGGATGGATGGTCCCTCACCTCTGAGGAAAAGAGTCTTTGTGTTAGGAGTGCAGGTGCTTGACCCTGTGCTTGGCTTTATGGTGGTGATCTGAGCTCTGCCTCTACCTGATAGGTCCAAGCTGATGCTGTCTGTCCCTAGGTTTCAGTCCTGTTTGCTGGGCAGCACATCTCGAAGAGCCCATTTGAAGTGAATGTTGACAAAGCCCAGGGAGATGCAAGCAAAGTGACAGCAAAGGGACCAGGACTGGAGGCAGCAGGGAACATTGCCAATAAATCTACCTACTTTGACCTCTACACAGCAGGTAAGCAGGATGAGTGATGATGGAAATCCTGCAGTGTTCTCAAATGTGAGAACCTAAGGCCTTGGAAAAATAAAAAAACCTGTACGATGGATGAGGATTTGTAGCCCCATCAAACTCATTGGTGAAATAACAGCTGGGCTGCTCAGAAGGCTTCAGCTGCATATGAAATACTTGAAGTGCAGAGCTGAGCTGGGACAAGAGGGTGCTAAGCCTGACCCAGAAATTTGCCATGAATTTGCTGGATGGCGGCAGTCAAGTTCCTGGCTGGTTTCTTTCCCCAGCTCATTTTAAACAGGAATGTGACACGTTGAACATAAATGTGAAGGATAAACTGTGAACCAACTGTAAACGTGTAGTGTGTTCTATATTTAGCTCTACAGAAAGAACCTGCTGCAGTGCTACTTTGAGTTCATACTTCAATGATGAACTGGTTTCAACCTCTATTGTAATTATTAGAGGGTTACTATCTTCATTAGGGCATCTCCATCACATTATTTGTTACCTGCTATTAGACCAATGCTGTAGCCTAGAGGAATGAGTCAATAAGATGCTACAAATGTTAATTCATTTAGAACAATGTGAAACTACTTAGGGCAGTTACTTGTAGCGTTTAAACACCAAAATATGCTGCGTAGCATATTTGAAATTCTGCCTGAGGGAGCTTAGGAATAAAATTAAATATGGTTATAGTAAGGCAAGTATTATGTTCAGCCTCTAATTGGGAGAGGGAGTGGTCTGAATCATGTAAAGACATGTCTGGCCTCTGAAAGTGTATAGAAAACTGTTTTTGTTGGATGATGAGTTGAATAAGATGTGAGAGGAGCAGGTGTCTGAACAAAAGTGAATATATATAGTCCATCAGAGAGGATCCTTGTTAGACCAGCATTCATTTGTCCAATCTCTTAATCTAAACCACTTCAAAGCTTGAGAGATTGAACTGACTGGTAAAGCTGTGGGCTGATCTGCGATAGAGGTGCTACAGGGTGGTGTTCGTAGGGTAACCAGGATGTATGTATATTCAGTACTATGTTGTGAAACCCTGTGGCTGGAGCAGCAGAGCCCCTGTCAGTTTGACTTCCTGGAATGCCACCGTGCTGTCTTTCCCACTCCCTGCTCAAATGTTTGATTGCTGTCAGCAAAAGCTGAAGGCAGAGGTTGTGCCTAGAATTGGCAGCAGAGGATGGCTGGCTGAGCCCAGACAGCTGGTGGTAGTCTGAAACAGGGGGCCTGTTGCTGGTGGGGAAGCCAAGGCTCAGCTGGGCTTGTTTCATTTGCAGGTGCTGGTGTGGGTGATGTGATTGTGGAAGTGGAGGATCCTCAGGGAAGGAGCCTTGCTGAAGTTGTAGTGGAAGACAAAGGCAACCAGGTCTACCGTTGCACCTACAAACCTGTTCAAGCTGGTCCTCACATTGTCAAAGTGACTTTTGCTGGGGAGGCAATTCCCAAAACTCCTTGCACTGTTCTCGTTGGAGAGGGTATGTTTTTTAAAAATGCATATAAATGTAGATGGACACTTTTCTCCTTGGATGTGATCACAGAATATGCTTGGATCATGCCTTTTATATTCTCTGTACCTTTCAGCATCTTGGTCCTGTTTCAGTGGGTCACCTGAGTACTCTCAGGGTAAACCAGTGCTCTCTAACAGTAATATGGCTTTTGTTGCTAGTTTCCTTTCTGCCTAGACTTACAAATGTTAAGCTGCCCTTTGAATTTTTTTGAGTAATTTATCCAGCTGTGCAGTGTCTTGCTGTTTTCCACCCTTGTTCCTCAAATGACTATATTTACTGTTTTCCTCCTTAATGGACACCTAATTTGCTTTCTGTTCCATCCTTACGTGCTCCTATGCTTTTAGATCTCTGCTCATCTCTCCTGAGCTACCCTCCATTTGTGGAATTTTGGACTTCACTGCTAATGGCTTCATAGTTGGTAAGAGGTGTGCAGGATGCTCCGTCATGTTTGCTCTTTGTAAGCTTCTAGCCTGCAGCTTGTCCCAGCCAAAGGATTTTTGGTTTTGTTGGGGTTGGGGAGGAAAGTTGCAAACGAACTGAAGCTTTGTGTGACCCAGTCAGTGAAACTGGCTTAACCACAGGCTGCCTGACGCAGCTGTGTAAGTGCCCTGCAAGCTGTTCCCACTCCACATCAGCCACGTGTTCCCACTGAGCTTTCAGAGCTGGCAGATGGCACCCAATCCCCACTCACACCGTCCGGTGTAGGACAAGGGGCGATGTTGGCTGCTGCAGGGGTGAGGGGAAAACCTGTAAGCTGTTGTATAATGAGTGAAAACCTAACAAGCTGCTTGGCAGACTTGTGCTCCTGCTGTAAGCACGGCATGCTTGAGGAAAATGCCTGTTTGGTTTACAGTGCTGGGAAGCTGTGGTTGTTTGTAAGTCTCTTCAAACCTCTCAGGTCTTTGGCGTTGAAAACCTCATGACAGCTGGGATTGTGTAATGAAAACTATTCCTAAGTGCGCAAAATTTCTGTAGCCACTCTGCAGGCCCAGAGAAGTGCTCGGAGTAAAGAGGTCAAGATAAGCCTAAGCCATGTGTAACCCTCCTGCCCCCCCCTGCTTCAGTCTGCAGAGGGCTTGGTGACTTTGCTTCTGTGAAAGTGTGAACTGTGACAAACGGGGGGGTTTGACGCGACATCTTTTAATGAAGCACAGGCAAAACTCAGCTTTGCTAATAGCAGTTATCCCAGTCATGTGCTTCTGAAAGACCAGCAGAATAATACTGTTCACTGGGGCTTATCTGCAAGAGGGACCCTTCACCCTACACTGCAGTGGGCCTCAATGCGAAAGGCGTCGGAAAGGTCGTGTCTGTGGCAAATATCTCTATGTGATAGCTGTGTAAAAGTCTTGTATTGATAAGTGGCACTGAATTGGAAAGCAGAAGGGCTTCAGTGTTCGCAATCATTCTAAAAAATGGTCTTGGACAGGGTCAGTGTTGCCTGACAGCACTGACTGCTACTGCCTAAAAGCCAGGGGGCATAGACAGCAGCCGGGCAGACTCATGTCTGTCTGCCTTAGTGCTATAAGCTTCTGCTGAAAGCTAAGCTGTGGTTGCCCTGAGTCACCGTTAAACTGAAGGCTGTCCCAGGCTGGCTAGGCTACCTGTATGTTGAGATCAGAGACAGTAGTAATGCCTGAAGTTCCTTTGCAGCCTGCAACCCCAACGCATGTCGTGCCACTGGTCGAGGTCTGCAGCCCAAAGGCGTCCGTATCAGGGAGACGGCCGACTTCAAGGTTGATACGAGAGCAGCAGGGAGCGGAGATCTTGGAGTGACTATAAAGGGACCAAGTGAGTGCTGGGGTGAATCTGTGCCGTGCATGTCTTTTGGAGAAGGGGGAGGAGCAGAGCCTGGGAAAAGGAAGAGCAGGAAGGAGATGGTGTCCTGATGGAACTGATGGGATCTGTATAAAAAGCCAGATTTCAGAATGGTTTATGAGTACTTTGTGTCTATTGGGGAAGTTTTGATCTGCAGGGCTGGGTAAGATTAAATCTGGTTTTAGGTCTTTCCATTTTAATGCATCAGTTAGCAAAACTGAGAAAATCCATGCGTGTGCCTGCTGTGGCCTCCAAGCTTCATGGGTACACATTGCATCTTCATTCCAATCTGTGGAAGCAAGTCACACGCCATGGTCTCTGGCATGATGGAAATCCTGCTCTCATAAAGCTGGGAATTGCTCAGAGCAGTATTCCTGGTGCCACTAGCAGATTGGGCACACAAACAGAGGAGGAAAGGAGCCCATAGGCTAACAGAGACCATCTATGAGGATCCATCCCCAGGTCCCTTGGTCCTGAGCCCTGGATGTGGCCCCGTGCCTGGGAGGATGGGAGCACAGGGGCCGCTGGCTCATGCGGCCGCCAGCAGCAGTCCCTGTGTGGTACTCTGAGCCCGCCACCTCCCCCCACCTCTGGAGGCATTCAAAGGTGCATTGTATTGCCTTCACCTCCTCCACACACACAGAGCTCTGACTGTGTGGCTTCTTGAGGCTGGGGGGAAAAAAAGCAACAGACATATCAATGTAAATTTTAGCGTATTAAGCTTTTCTTCCTAAATTCTTCATCTTGAAGAAAATGAAAAGTAGGCATTCCCTGCATACTTGTGGTTACAAAGTCTGACAAATGTTAAGCTTTTTTGTTTTAACATATGACATGCATCATACTGCAGACTAAGAAAATAAAACACAAGGGAACTTATTAAGTCTGGTAACTTAAAATACTTTCTGCTGTATTTCTTCTGGAAGTGTTTGCTGTCTTTGTCCTAGAGGGCAGCTAGAACTAACTTCCCTTATAACCTGACCTTTTTTTTTTTCTGGTGGAAGAAATTTATTCTTGCAAGCTAAAATAAATACTAGAAAACATGAACTTGTCTGAGTAATTGAAAGCAGGATGGAAATTGTTAAGTTCAATGCTGAATTGATCTTTCAACAGAGGGCTTGGAGGAGCTGGTGAAACAAAAAGGCTTTATGGATGGTATATATACATTTGAATATTATCCAGCCACACCAGGGAAGTACGTTGTCACAATTACATGGGGTGGGCAAAACATCCCAAAAAGGTGAGTCAAAAGTAGCCTTTTGGGCATTTTTATGTCCTTCAGTGGGTTGTGTAGTTGGTGGGCTTTTAAAGCAACACTGACCTTTGAAGAAGCACTGGGGAGAAGTTAGTGGCAAATTGTTGTTGTAACTTTTTATTTTTAACAGCCTGGTTTTGGGCTGCAGCAGCTTGACAAAGCTCTGAAGGGTGATTTGTATCAGTCTTTCTAACACAAAATCATGAATAAAAAACCTAATAAAACATGGTGGATCATGCAGCTTGAACTTTGCTGTAAGATTTTGAAGGGCTCTATTATTTCAGTGTCCACAGCTATAGCAAGCAGAGCAAGTATTTGGCACTCAGGATTTGTGGTGGAAGATGGTGATGGGTTGGGTGACATCTCTGCTAGAAAGACACTGATGAGCATTCTGCCACCACATGATACCATCTATTAATTTGGAAAATTTAATGTAGAGCCTCATTAAAATGCCTGGGGAAAAACATAGATGCTGTGTGTGTCCCCGTTTCTAATACCATGCTTTGTTTTTCTCTGGTAGCCCCTTTGAAGTTCAGGTGGGTCATGAAGCAGGTCCTCAGAAAGTGCGAGCCTGGGGGCCTGGACTGCACGAAGGAGTTGTGGGCAAGTCGGCTGACTTTGTGGTTGAGTCCATTGGTACAGAAGTTGGCTCTCTTGGTATGTTACTTGACTTAGTTTCCCTGAAATATTTGTATCTTGCAAGGCTAGCAGTGAACTCATGAGAAACAACAGGTTTCCCAACAGTAAAAAACCGTGTCTGTAACACGTTGTGGTCTAAACACTAACATCTATCAGAGTATCAAAGGCATGTCCTAGAGACAGGAGTGTGTATGATGGAGAGTGTTAATCTGGGGTTTTGTGGGATGAGATCGAAAAGGGAATGATGGATGTATTATCTCCTGTATTGCTGAAGAGGGGTAACTGAGAGATCAGGCATGTTTAAGGCTAACAAAAAGCTATTTGTGGAAGTGGTGTTAAATTAGTGGCCGCCACCAAACCTAACTTGTTCCTTTTTCAGGCTTTGCAATAGAAGGCCCTTCTCAGGCTAAAATTGAGTGTGATGACAAGAACGATGGCTCATGTGATGTGAAGTATTGGCCCAAAGAGCCTGGTGAATATGCTGTGCACATCATGTGTGATGATGAGGACATAAAAGACAGCCCTTACATGGCCTTCATTCGACCAGCTTCAGGAGACTTCAACGCGGATAAGGTGAGGCACAGGAGTTCACCCATGGCACAGCATGTCTTGGATGTAACTACAGTAGGGATGTTTCTAAAGGATTCTGGTAGCAGACTCTTAAGCTGCCTCTGCTTAAAGCTCTGAATTTGCCAAGATATTATCCAGCCAGATATTCCCCAGCTTTTTCGAATAACACTGTTGTGGTTTTGATTTAATGTAATGAAAACTTGCTGAAGTAGTATCACATGCTTCATGGGGTTTGTGGAGGGGGCAGGTCTTCATACATAAATCACTTTGTTTTGTTTCTCTTTCTGAATTGCAAACTAATATTCTTGAGGTGCTCTTTTAGGTGAAGGCTTATGGCCCGGGCTTGGAGAGGACTGGCTGTATAGTGAACAATCCTGCTGAGTTCACAGTTGAAACCAAGGATGCTGGGAAAGCACCTCTGAAGATGTATGCACAGGTAAAAACCCAAAGGCAGCTGTGTGAAACTGCAGCACAAGAACTTTAATATTGTTTAGAAAAATGCCTTAAGTATTCCTACTCACTTACCCCTTAATTCTGGGCATTTGTAATTCAGTCAAAGCTCTGTGCTTTGATCTGTGTAATGTAGTCAGGCAACAGCTGAAGACAAAGTGACTGCTCTGAAGTATACGAAGTACATGGCTTTGCTTCCTTACTTGGAAGCAAAGCAAGGTGTAATTTCCTTGAGTTGTCATTTGGAAGCACTGAAGTGTCTCTGAGCCTGTGAATTTTGTGTGTTGTAGGATGGTGTATGAATGAGCAAGTGTTAGATGAAGAAGACTTGCAGGAGTGTAAATTGCACGGTTCTTCAGTATTTCTGAACTGCAGTTCTGGGAAAAAAAAAAAACAACCTGACACATTTTGGAGCAGTCTTGGGCAGTTTAAACTATGCAAACATTTTTGAAGTGCCTGAACCTTCTGCTTGTATTACTGCTTTTTAGGATGGAGAAGGAAACCCTATTGATATCCAGATAAAGAGCAAGCCTGATGGTGTGTTTGCCTGCTCCTATGTGCCAGTTAAACCAATCAAACATACAATTTCTGTTGTCTGGGGAGGAGCCAATGTGCCCAATAGCCCATTTAGGGTAAGTACAGAGATAATAGTTCTAGCCAAATAGGACATTGGTGCTCACAACTACTTGTTAGTACAACTAGATGGTAGAACCCTTCTGTAAACTTCAAGGACGTGTACCCTTCTGCTTTATTTTTTTAGAAACCTATCCACTTGTATAAATCTTTGTTTTCCCAAGCTCACGTGGTGGTATCCTATCAGCCCAGCTGCAGCCTGGGCGATTTGGGGCCATTCATTTGCATCTGTTATCCTATAGCTCCTCTCCAAGCAATGTTCTGACTTGGCTGTGATCTCAAGTGCGACAGAGATGTGTGATTCTGACCCTTGTGAATTTGTGTAGGTCCTTATAGGTCAAGGGAGTCACCCTCAGAAAGTCAAAGTGTTTGGACCTGGCGTGGAGAGAACTGGCCTGAAGGCAAGTGAGCCGACCCACTTCACTGTGGACTGCACAGATGCAGGAGAAGGTAAAAGCAGGCTGGGTTATTTTGTGGTATCAGATTCACAGGTCATGCAAGGAGGGGTTAGTGTACTGTTCCATGCTGGTTTTCCTTATTTAGTGGAAAAACCTTGGGAAGCAGAACATTGCAGTGAATTGTGATCTGATCTGTTAATTAGTTAACATGGTGACTCATCTAGAAGTAGGAATGGTCTGGCTGTTTGGCTGGCAGTGTCTGTGCTGTCCAGTAGCAAAACCTCCACTTGCTTTTCCTAGGTGATGTCAGTGTTGGAATTAAGTGTGATGCTCGTGTGGTCAGCAGTGAGGAAGAGGACATAGATTTCGACATCATCCACAATGCTAATGATACATTCACAGTGAAATACTCACCACCTGCTGCCGGGCGCTACACTATTAAAGTGCTTTTTGCAGGAGAGGTTTGTAATCTCCATTTTGCAGCCTGATGTTTCGAGAATCTGTTTATCTGCTCTTTGATCACCATGCATGTGCCAGTTCACAGTTGGCTCTTTCCACATCAGCTCACATGCACTTGGTTTGGTCACTGTTTCTATAGCAATGTAAAAAATGGAAACTTCTTTCATAATACTTGCATGTATGTAAGTGAGGGGAGCTGGTTGGGGACACTGAAGTTTGTGTAATGTGTTGGACTGGCATAGTGAATGTGGTCTCCATGGTGGGGCAAGGTTGCCTTCTAAAGGTAAAAAACCCAAGTGGCTTTTCAAGGAAGATATGGGGAAAATGTCTTAAAGAGCAGAGAGAGACAAACTTTCAGCTGTTAACTTTGCCCTGTATTTTGAGTTATACTACCCAATAAGGCAATATTTAAGTGAGGTGAAATTTTGTTCAAGATGCTGGAATTATAACAGAATTACCTTAAAACTATGACCTGTTTAATTTTGGCTAGGGAAGAGTGACCTGGTTATTTTTGGAGTTGTGTTTCTTTTGCAGGAAATTCCTGCCAGCCCATTCAGAGTTAAGGTGGACCCCTCACATGATGCCAGCAAAGTGAAAGCTGAAGGACCTGGGCTGAACAAAACTGGTGAGAGCTGGGTTCATGTAGTGTGACCAGTACTGGATCATGAAGAGCTGTTGCAGGATGGTCACAGCCTGGCTGGGCATTGCTGGGATGCAGCAGCAGGGTGGGGTGTCAGGCAGTTGCAAACAATGCCTTTCCCTTGATATTTTGCTTGGCTGGGCTGGGCTTTATTGGTACTGAATCCTTCTTGAGGAGAGTTTCTCTGTGTCAGCTGTGTGTAAATTAGAATTAACGTTTTTCTTCAGGTGTGGAAAATGGCAAACCAACACACTTCACAGTGTTCACCAAGGGAGCTGGAAAAGCACCACTGGATGTGCAGTTCAGCAGCTCAGTGCCAGGAGAGGCAGTGATGGATCTGGATATCATTGACAACTATGACTATTCCCACACTATTAGGTACACGCCCATACAGCAGGTATGTCTGACTCCTTAGCGGTACAGGAGTGAGCAGCTCCTGTTGCTGTAGTGCAGTGACCTTCCTCCCTAGTACCTGTGCACAGAGGAAAAAGCCAAAAAAACTTACCAGGGTATCGTGTTCCCCAGGATCTCTCATGCCTGCAGTACAGTGGGAGTTGGAAAGCACTAATGCAGTTTTTCTGGTGTAGTTATTGATAGCTTGCCACTGTTTGCTTTTCTATGGCAAGGAGAGATACTGACACAGAAGCACACAGCTCATATCATCATTCCATACCTTATCAGTTGAAGAAGAAAGGTGGCAAACCTTCCCAGACTCCAGCTCCATGGAGCTGACTGCTGTCCCAGCTGCCGCAGTCCTGCAGAGCTGAGGTTGTCAGCAGGCTGCTGGTGTCAAAGGAGCTGGAGTGCAAACCAGAGCAGGGACAAAAAGAGTTTGGGTGACGCTGCACTAGTTCCCAGTGGGCAAGTGGTGAAGTTGGTGCCCTTCTAGCAACACCATTAAAGAGCTGAAAGTGTGAGATCCTAATAGCTAGAAGTATTTTTCCTTACACTGTACTTGTATGTTTGTAAAAGGCCACTAAACACCAGAATGCACCAGTCTCGTATTTCTGAGGATGTAGGTGCTCTGGTGCTGAGATGAAAGTGCTTTGATACTCTTCTTCTCCTGAACAACCAAATGTACTACTAGGTCATCTGCCTTCCTTGAATGGAGCTATGTAAAAGTGAACTGATAAGGAAAACTGCAGTACTATTTAACTGATAATGCTGGTTCAGAGTTCTTGGAAGCACTGTAGAGCTAGTGTTTGTTTTTTGACAAAGCAGTTGCATGATCTCAGGATGTGGCTGGCGTGCCTGTTTGGAGAGGCTTTGGCTTGTTTAGTCAGGGCTGGTATGCAGAAGGGAGGATTCCTCTGTACTTCATGCATTCTTGAGCAGTACCAGATTTCTGTGCTTCACCTGAAAATCACTGGTGAAACAAGCCAGGATGCCCAAACCAGATTTTCCACTTGGGTCTTCCATCTGGAGAAGTACCATGGGTCATGGAAGCACTATGGAAGGGCTTACAGGAGATGCTTGCAAATAGCAGTGGCAGGAGAGCAGTGGTTAAGAGATGAAAATAGACTGCTCAGTTATTAGAGTAGCCTTGTTGTCCCTCCATGCTGTAAGCACATAGGTCTTTCCTGGACCCTGTCCTCCTCAGATTCCTAAGCAGTAGCTTATGAATGAGGCTGTGGACTCCTCAGAGCAGAGGGAGGATGGAGTAGGTAGTTAAATTCCTGAGGGGCAGCGTCAGTTGCAGAGCAGCCTTGGTTTAATGTTGTTTATTTGGTCTTATCTATCTCGTGGTGTTGCTACAGCTACCCGTGTAAGTGTTTTCTAAAAACAACCAAAAATAATCATGGAAGCTATTCACTAGCTTGCATGAAACATCCATGATTATTTCACTTGGGAGCAGGACCGGCCAAGAGTGAAAAGTAAGCAAACAGCGAATATAGCTAAAATATGGACTGCGGTAGGAGAGAATAAAAGGAACACACATCATGGGCTGGAGCTTGCTGTGGCTGTGCAGCATTCCAGCCAAAATACACAAGAGCATTAATCTTTCTGACTTGTAGAGCTTAAACCCCTGGTATTTCAGATGCTATAATAATATGGCCTCTTTGCAGTCTTAGCTTTGGCCTCCCGATGTGGTGGAAAGGGATACCTGGTCTGGAGTGGTGGGACATTCATTCAGCTGTCAGGTCTGAGCACCAGTGGGGGTGGAGCCAGCCTGAGCTGGAGGCTTTGCCAGGCAGCTTGAAAATAGTCCAGTTAAATGTTGGAAACAACTGTCTTTTTTGCTCTTCCTGTGTTCAATAAAATCTATTTAGTACTTTGAAGGTCTGCAGTGGTGTGAGCTTTAGTGTCCATAAACCAGTAAGTTTGGCTATGGCCAGATAAAATAGATTAGTTGATGTGGTTATGTTCTGCTTGGGTGTTGGTGTGTCTGTGTGAAGTGAGGAACTGAGCTAACATGTAAATTCTCCAACTAGGGTCCAATGAAGGTTTTGGTAACTTACGGCGGTGATCCTATCCCTAAAAGCCCTTTCACAGTGGGCGTTGCTGCTCCTCTAGACCTAAGCAAAGTTATAGTCAATGGACTCGAAAACAGTAAGTACCTGTGGGCTGGAAGCCTCTGAAGGGTCTCTGGAGTTTGGGTAATAGCCAACATGTCCTGCTGGAACAGGAGCAGGCAAAACAATCTCCTTTTTAATTTGCTGCAGCTGGGGATCAACTTTATAACTTGACTACACTTATTTAGGTGGTCCTCCTGAAGGCTGAATTTCAATTTAGATTTTTTTTTCTTTTTTGCTAAGATTACATAGTAATGTGGAGAAAATATGTGTTTGGGGTTTGGTAGTTTGTGGTGAACAGAGCTGGATGCTTCACCAGACTGAGCACTCAGTGATGAAATCTGTTTCCCTGAGGGCTAGATGGCTGTTCAAATGTATCAAACTCCTACAATGCACAGTGTCATTCATACAGTCTTTTTGTTTTGCTAAAGTGGAAGAACTTAAGCCTGTGAAATATTGTTGCTTTGCTGAAATGAGCCTCTGATACTGTCAGACCACACCTTACAGGCTTGTTTTCCCCTCTAGCTTTGTAATGTCAATTAACCAAAGCATTTGGTTTTGTTGGGTTTTTTTTTTTTTGTTGTTTGGCTTGGGAGGGTTTTTTGCCTGCAGAGGAATGCAGACTGGGTAGGGCTCTGCCAGTACCTGCTCCCTCAGTGATATGTGCATGGGAGATTCCTTGGACCATTGTCTGATGTTAAGTAATGTAATATGGGTTTTGTCTTTTTCAGGAGTGGAAGTAGGGAAGGATCAGGAATTTGTAATTGATACCAAAGGAGCTGGTGGGCAAGGTAAACTGGAGGTTAATATTTCTAGTCCTATGAGGAAAGCTGTGCCATGTCTGGTGGAACCAGTTCTGGGTAAGGAGTGCAGCACTGCAAAATACATCCCACGGGAAGAAGGACTTTATGTGGTGGATGTGAGTTATGATGGCAACCCAATCCCAGGGAGCCCCTACACTGTGGAGGCCACATTACCTCCAGACCCTTCCAAGGTAAGTGAACAGTATAGGGCTGTAACAGCAACTGGTACCTGAAAACTGAATTGTGGGCTATTGCATGAGACTTGGCTTGGTCTTGGCCAAAACATACCCAGTAACATCCTTACTCAGAGTACTCAGTGATTCTTTCTGCAGCCTCTATGGCTTGTAGAATTCATTCCTGTAACACTGTATTTGAAAAAAATGTTGAATTAATAAAAAAGATGGCAAATATCCTGCATAATGTAGCAAATTTAGGTGTCTCTCCTAATTTAATAGAAGTCTGATAAGCATCTCTGTATTAAGATGCTATTTTTCTAAGGAGATGTATTTCAAGAAAAACATGTGTACAGCCATCAAATATTTTAACATTTCCACCTTTTATTTCCCATGGCTGTATAAAAACAGCTATGGTGAGATTATAAATATCCTTGCCTAGAAACCTCTTTTGAGAAGTACCAGCTTTACAGTAAAAATGTAGGGCTGAGTGGCAAAGGAGACGGTGCCTTCTGTGTATTTTTAAGAGCCTGTTAATCAAGTCCCACATACAAGCAAATCTAAGTAGGAAGTCTTCTGGCAAAAACATGGAAAAGGCCATGTAGCTCAACTTCTTATTCTCTTTTAGGTAAAAGCTCATGGTCCAGGTCTTCGAGGGGGCCTTGTTGGAAAACCAGCCCAATTTACAATAGATACCAAAGGAGCAGGAACTGGAGGTTTGGGTTTGACAGTGGAAGGCCCGTGTGAAGCTAAAATTGAATGTTCGGACAATGGCGATGGAACCTGCTCTGTCTCCTACCTGCCTACAAAGCCTGGAGAGTATTTTGTAAACATCCTCTTTGAAGAAGTTCACATTCCTGGTTCGCCCTTTAAGGCAGATATAGAAATGCCATTTGATGTCTCTAAAGTCATTGCCACAGGCCCAGGTCTGGAGCGTGGTAAAGTAGGCGAGGCAGGGCTGCTGAATGTCGACTGCACGGAAGCGGGTCCCGGGGACCTGCGGGTGGACATGGTGTCAGATACTGGTTCCAAAGCTGAGGTCCGGATCGATGATAACAAAGACGGGACCTATGTCATTACCTACGTGCCCCTCTCAGCTGGCATGTACACAATCAAGATGAGATATGGAGGAGAGCAAGTGCCTAAGTTCCCAGCTCGGGTCAAAGTGGAGCCAGCTGTGGACACAAGCAGAGTTAAAGTGTTTGGGCCAGGAGTCGAAGGAAAAGGTGAGACTAACTGTTGTTATCAGAATTTGTAGGACTTGCTGTCCTTTCTGTGAATTCTGAGTGTTGAAAGTTGTAAAATGTTTCCATGGTGATCCTTGGGCAGACAAGAGTCTCATGTTCCCAAACAAGCTGTTTATCATGCTGTTTCACTAAATGTTTTGTTGTTGGAATATATTGCACTTCTTGAAGTGACTCTTCAAAACATTTCCTGTAGATGTCTTCCGAGAAGCTACAACTGAGTTCACTGTGGATGCTCGACCTCTAACGAAGGCTGGTGGTGACCACATCAGGACACAGATCACGAGCCCATCTGGCTCCCCCACAGACTGTCTCATCCAAGACAACGCGGATGGAACATATTCAGTGGAGTACACGCCATTTGAAAAGGGTAACCTCGGGGCTTGTTTTCTTTCACTTGAAAGGGGAAAACCAAGAGCAAGCAGCTCTTCTGCCACTTTCATTTGGCAAACCCCTGAGGTCTGCCAGTAACTTGTTGGCATCTTTGCAAGAGGTCTGCCAGCAGAGGAGCTAATTCTGCAGGAAGTAGCTGTTTTTTAACTTTAAGAACTGGCTTTTATGGTAACTTGTCTTTAGAAGAACAGTTTGTAGATGGAATCTCAGTTACACGATACTAGTGAAGTCTTGTGAAATACAAGAAGAAACTCTTATCCATATACTGACATTGAAGTCTGTAGCATCTTGAGTTATGTTAAGTCATGAGCACTTCTAGGGAATTCAGGAGATGTTTGGCTCTTTTTAACAGGTCCACACACAGTGAGCGTGACATATGATGGTGTGCCTGTGCCAAATAGTCCCTTCAGAGTGAATGTCACAGAGGGCTGCCATCCATCACGTGTGAAGGCACAAGGACCTGGACTTACAGAAGCTTTCACAAATCAGCCCAATGCCTTTTCAGTTGTCACCAGGTGATGGGGCCTCTTCGATCTTGAAGGAATATCTGAGGGAGGGAGGAGCATAGTGGTGTGTGCAATGCAGGATGCTAAACTCAGTACAAATATTTATAAAAAGGCCAAGCCATGTCCAGCTGATGACTGTGTGCTACCTCATCATCTACTGTGCTCTGCCAACATTCAACATGAGGGATTGATAGTTACTGAGGAGAAAATTCTAGGAAAATTTGAGTGAGGCACTACTGAAAAGCTTTGCATGGCAGCACATGCTGAAGGCTGAACATTGGAAGCCAGGATACCACATTTCCAAAAAGGATGAAAATGCAGCCAGAGCATGTGAAGGCTACAAAGCTGCTTTAGAAGCAGGGGATTCTAACAATGTATGTTTGTCTTGCAGAGGGGCAGGAATTGGTGGCCTTGGAATAACTGTTGAAGGACCTTCAGAATCTAAAATTAGCTGTAAAGATAACAAAGATGGGAGCTGCAGTGCCGAGTATATTCCTTATGTTCCAGGAGATTACGATGTTAACATCACGTATGGGGGAGAGCATATTCCTGGTAAGAGCTCTTGCTTGGTTGCTTTCAGAAGGGGATGAAGTCCAACTATGGACTCAGAGTTCTCATTTGGCTGCATCTCTCTTGTGCTGTGGGATGTTGATGTGATTTTGGCTTTCTGCTTTTCCTCAGAATTCAGGCAGAAAAGGCAGTGACATTTGCTCAAATGGGTACAAATGAGTGGAACAGGAAAAGGGACACTAACCCTTGACAAATAACTGGTATTATATACAAGTGGTGTGTAATACTTTAGGTTATGAAAATAGCCCTTTGGTCTGTGGATGCATTAAAGATCCTGTTCTGCAGTAAGAGGGGATGTTTCCTGTTGTTCCCATTCTCTTTGCTGACATACTGAACACAGTAAGATATAAGGAAATGTATTGCCTCCGTGATGCTTCATTTGCACTTCTGACTTCTTTCATGTTTGTTTCTTTTCCTGAGGTGTGAGAAGTAGATAGGTCACAGATGGTTGACACCAATTCTGTGAAACTGTGGAAGCACCATCATTACACTTCTGGCTTTTGCAGAAGCAGAGGGATAGTGTGGAGGCTGTGGGGCTGTAATTCCTGCCTGCAACAGAGGGCTAGTAATAAAAAAGCCTAAGGAAAGGCAGAGAAAAAAATCTTTTGTTCTCTGTAACTGTTAACCTTGTGGTGTTTAACACTTACAATGTCAACTTCCAGGCAGTCCTTTCAAGGTTCCTGTGAAGGATGTTGTGGATCCCAGCAAGGTGAAGATAGCAGGACCAGGTCTGGGTACAGCTGTTCGAGCCAAAATCCCCCAGTCCTTCACTGTAGACACCAGCAAGGCAGGAATAGCACCTCTTGAAGTGGTGGTGACAGGACCCAGAGGTAAGAACCAAAGTATTTCATCTGGCTGTGGCCATATCTGTGTTTGCGCAGGTAACATGGTCCTGGCCCTGCTTGCAAAGGTGGCAGTGCCACTTGAATGAGCATTTCCCTCTGCTCCTGTTCATCTGTCGTGTGCCCCTTGGCAGCTGACCCAGTCATGCTGTGACAGAGAGCTGTGTCCTAGGTAGTTGGTCCCCAGAGAACAGCAAGGCCCTTCGAGTGTTAGCATTAATGGTGTTTGCATTAACCTAGAAAGCTGTGTCTCAGTGACACAGAATCTTGCCAGAGAGCAGCTTTTGGCTGCAAGTCTCACCTTGCTGGGAGGTGAGAGCTGCCCCCCCCACTGGAGAGTCAGTCTTGCTGTGCAGGTGCCCTGCAGGTAACACTTCTTTAATTCTAGCGGATGAGACGGATTCCCAGGGATGGCGCTCCCCATTGAAAGCAATTTCGGATTTCTTTAAAGGTGCTCCAAAGGGTGACACTGAGACAGGTTTGAACTCTCACTAACTACTGGCAGTTTTGGTTCTTGGAAATCCGGTTGGCAGCAGCAAGAATCATCTGCAGGAGGGAGTGGGAACCAACGGTGTTGCTTTTAGGCTGTGCATGGCAGCTATATACATTTCTTTTGTGCTTGCTTTACTACTAATCCTTTCTGTGTTTTAAAGCCAACTGGTAATTGTAGACTGCTTTGTGTGTTGATCTGAACTGATATGTCACATAATCTGTTGTAGATTTAGCTTAATGCAAATTGAAATAATTGATCCTGCTTTCTTAGGTCTTTGGCAGCTTGCAGGGTGTTCTTGCCTAGGCAGCAAGCCTGCCTTTCTAAACACCTGATTGTGAAAGACTCAGCTGGTGAATGCTATACACCAACTGGCTTTAGAGCTCAATTCTGTGCAGTGAATCCTAGTAATACGAAATAATCTTGCAAATGACAGTTCAGACAGTTATAAGCATTACTCTTTTTCTGTCTTGAAAGATCTTCAATACACCTTTAGCAATTGCTCTTGACCTAGACTGTACCAAAAGGCAGATCTTTCTCCAGTATTTTCATGCTAGCTTTTGTTTACAGCAAGAAGATGGGAGCCCAGAGAGCAGTGGATAAAAAAAAATCTATCTCAAGTCAATGGCTTTGAATATAAAATAAGGGAAGCTGGTTATTGATCCATGCCTGTTGCTTTCATTAAAAAAAAAAATTGAAATTTGTTATGAGCAGTCCATCTTGCAGCTTTGTGCAGAAAATGACTGTGTTTTAATAGCATAAATGAGAAAAAAATGTATTGCTTTTTTAGGAGTTGTGGGACCTGTTAATGTGGTAGACAATGGAGATGGCACCCACACGGTGGTGTACACCCCTATGCAGGAGGGACCCTACATGATCACTGTCAAATATGCTGATGAAGAGATTCCTCGAAGGTAAGGTGATAAGAGAAACTTCGGAGAACTGAAGATGTAACAATCTAATGGTGTTCTCCCAGCACATAAGCACCATTTATGGACTGGTCCTTTTTATTTAACCAGTGCAGCTCCTTGCATTTGGGGTTCATTGGTGTTTTGAGCCCACTGCACCTGCAGCAGGCAGTGTAAGAGGGCTGTATAGCGTGTACTGCAGCAACTATCAGCCACTGACTTGGGAGGAGGGAAAATAATGGGTTGCTCTTTAAGTCCCTTCAAGGTGAAGGTGCTTCCTACGTACGATGCCAGTAAAGTGACAGCGAGTGGTCCAGGGCTCAGTTCCTATGGCATTCTAGCCAGCCTGCCTGTGGAGTTCGCTGTGGATGCTAAGGATGCTGGGCAGGGACTTCTGGCTGTACAGATCACGGTAAGTAAACAAAAGCAAGCAGGACAAGAAACATGTTTTCTAGGTGTGCATGAGTCTCTCCTTTCAGAAATGTCCACAGCTTTATCCTAATATACCCAGTGTCCTGGAGACTGGGCTGCTGACTGGACACTGAGGTCTGGTACAGGAAAGTCTTGCACTTGGCATTTGTGAAGCTCTTGACAGTGCTTTTGTGAAACTTCTGTCTTAAAGTCATCAGATGTGATCTGTTTGGGTCTTGCCTAACCTTGCACTCTGCAAATGCCCAAAATGAGATAAGTAATTTTTCCTAAGATTATGAAAATACTGACACTTGAAATGGAAGCAGTCTTCCAGCAGTGTTCAGCAAGGCCATGAGATAACCACTCTGAGCATCATGTTATGATAAATTACCACACACATCTCCCTCAAGGTTGCCAGAAGTCATAAGCTGCTTAAGGAGATACTGCAGGAATGTTTTGATTTATCTTTGTTACTACTCTTTCAGAAGTTTCTGGTGCATGGACTCTGTGGCCTCAGCAAAAAGGTGTCTGATTAGTGGACTGTAAAGCACATAGCTGAGCTCTGGCATGCCTAGGTCATGGTATGCCTGGTTGTACTTGCCCTTCTGCATTCTTGCTCTTGTCCTGTCTCAATGCCTGCTCAGGTGCACCAAAGTAGTTACCATTAATTCTGGTGTGCAAGTGTGCTCTTAAAAGGTTCCAAAATGCTTATCAGGTCTCCTAGCCTGGCTGGGGCTTTGAAGATCATGTTCCACAAGACCTCTCTGGTAGAAGTGCATTAGGTGATCCTTCTGACAGGCATTTGTTTGCTTCTTATTCTGAGCTGTTGAATGTCAGATGTTTCACAAGCCTTCCTGAAAGAAGTAATCTCGTGCTGTACCTAAAATCTCAAGTCCTTTGTAGCTTATACTGTACCCCAGGTAGCATTAAGTCAAAATACAAAATTGAGTCAACATGTGATTCCCTATAAGAAGGCTTGGAAGACTTTCTAAAATGCTTTGTGCTTTGCAGCTGATGAGAAATGGTAGTTGAAGGGGCTGCATAGACCTGCTTTTAACTGTAGACTTCGCAGTGTGCCAGCAGCTGGATGCCTCATGAAGGAGGGCTGACAGCAGACTCCAGTAATGCTTCCCCCTACCCTCAGACCTTTCAGGGAGCAGCTTCCCAAAGCTACCCAGTCCTTACTCAGGACAGAGCTGCACATTGTGACTGCCCATTTGTGCCTCTGGGAAGTGTTCTTCATTTCCAACAGCAGTGAAGTCTGTGAAGACAGTGAAGCCTGAACTTCTTACAATTAATATAAAGTTAATTAAAATGGCTTGCTGGTCTTATGAACATTCTCATATCAACCAAAGAGTAGTTTATAATAGTACTCATTGTTTTATAGTGGGCTGATGTCTTTCTGCTCCTAATACTCTGGTTTTGTTACGAAGCCATTGAGCAAAATATCTTTAAACTTCAAAAAGCTGCAGTTCTGTATCTGTTTGAGACCACCTAAGTGTGGTTGTAAACAGATTTGATGCCCACCTAAGGAAATTCAAAACCTTCATAGTGCTTAAATCTTCTGGTTTGCATTCCTCAGGATCAAGAGGGCAAACCCAAGAGAGTGGACATTCATGACAACAAGGATGGCACTTACACAGTCACCTATGTCCCTGACAAAACAGGCCGCTATACGATTGGCGTTAAGTATGGTGGAGATGATATCCCGGCCTCTCCCTACAGGATCCGGGCATCTCCAGCTGGGGATGCCAGCAAGTGTTTGGCCACAGGTGAGTGTTCAACTCCTCCCTTTGCTGTTGCTTGTTCTGGGTGTAAAGCTGCCTTCTGTGCATGGGAAGTAGATGTGATGGGTGTAGAAGACATGCTTGAGACTTGTGTAGTCTGGCTGCTCTTACAGAAGGGGTGTTCCTAAAGATAAGGAAGTGTCCACCCTGTGGGTGAGCAGGGATCTCCTGCAGCCTCTAGCAAAATCTGTCAGACTGCCTGGGCTGTTATAAAAAGCCAGATGCAACTGTTTGATGCTTATTTTGGCATCAACAAATCTAGCTGAGAACTTAAGTGAGGTTGATTTAAAAATAATAATGTGTGTGTATCTGCTGCATCTTGTTCCTTGCACAGTGAGCATTCCAAGAAGCTTTTCATTGCAAGCTACAACAGAATTGATTCTGAGGATGTAAATAGCTGGTCATGTGCAAAGCTTATTCAGGCTAGGTGTTAATGGAGGTTTCTGCTGCTTTTCTGTGTGGTCAAGATTGGCCTGGATCTGAATAGGATTTTGGGAAGGAGAGAGCCTAAAGATAAGATATTACTATGACTCAAAAAATTGTTGCCTTGGCGTAGGGCTCTCCAGATTTTTTGCTGTAGGAGCACACAGGTTTTAAGGACAGGTGTTCATCACGTGGCTTTGGGCTGGTCACTGTGGCATGCTCCCACCTCCCAGGAGGCTGTGGCTGGGAGCAGAAGTGACAGGAGCTAGTTACAAGAATACCACTGAACATTAAGTCCCTTGATTGTAGAATAAATAAATAAAGTAGGCAAGGCCAAATTGAACAGGGTAACTTGATCTGGTGTTGTAGACCTGGGAGAGTGTGTGGGCATTGTGCTGGACCTGGGCATTGTGCAGTTAGAGTGCAGCTGATGCCTGTCCATGAGCTGGCTGCTATCAAGTTGTTTTAAACAGAAATACATTCCTGACACAATGGAAGAAAAAAAGAGATATCATCAAAAAAAGAAGAGATATCATCAAAATTTCTTTAAAAGATGCCTTAATGGGTAAATCTGATACTCTTTGAAGTAACTCAAGTCACTAACTATTGAAAGTAACTGAGATGGAGATTACTGCCAGATGCCAGCTAAAATTTCCCATTTCCAAGAAGTGCTTCTGATTCAGTGCTGTAAAGCTGAAATGCAATCACCGTAGGAGTAAGTGCTGGAATATTGCCAATGTATTAAACCAGCAGGTTCTCTGCCAGTTGAAAATGAGCCACTTAACTGGTAACAAGTGAGGGTCAGAAGCAGGAGTATTCAATAGGTACTACTGCAAATAAGACATAATAGTTCTCATTTAAACACAGTGTTCTTCAAGCTAGATCTGATTGCTACAATTTTGGCATTGTTGCATGATGTTCTTTTTTTGGGATGTGTGGCAGAACAGTGGAAAATTGTATGTGGGTAATGGTGGAGAAAGTGTGTCCTTTTATAGCTGCTTACACAGGGAGGTTTATGTTAAAGCAGTGCAGCCCAGTTGCTGGCAGAAGAAAGTGCCTTTGGCTCTGCATAAAGAAGTAGGATGACAAGAGTATGGGTTAAGGCATTGCTTTCTTCAAACTTAGCTTTTTTCTTCTTTTCCTATCCAGCCTCTCTGATTGCAGAGGAGGAAGAGAGCTGGTAGCCAGCTCTAGCATACGACTGTGCTGACCAGTTTTACAAATGTCTCTTGTTGTACATCTGCTCCCAAAACCACATTTGTGGCTCCCAGGGACCAGTGTCTTGGTGCCATGCTCCCCAGGCACCTCACAGGCAGTCTGCCTGGGAAAACTGTCCTGTGAATGCTTCCTGTAACTAAAATTGCCTTGTAGGTCCTGGAATTGCACCCACTGTGAAGACTGGTGAGGAGGTTGGTTTTGTGGTGGACGCCAAATCAGCAGGGAAGGGAAAAGTGACGTGTACCGTCCTCACGCCAGATGGGACAGAAGCTGAAGCAGATGTTGTTGAAAATGAGGATGGGACTTATGATATCTTCTACACCGCTGCCAAACCAGGAACCTATGTGATTTATGTCCGCTTTGGTGGGGTGGACATTCCCAACAGTCCTTTCACTGTCATGGTAAGCCAGTTCCACTCCAGAAGTACCTCCCACTCAGATCCCTGCTGCTGTCTTTTATTTAGCAATAGGTTAACTCTGTGTGTAAATGTTCAGATATTTATTAGGCTAGCAGGAGCTAATGAATCCTTGTTCCTTGCAGAGCTTATTTTGAGCAGGCAATATGCTTAAGTGAAGTGGGATAGAAACCATCAGAGGATGAAGACTTGGTTTTTCGAAGAAATTTATTTTTCATTTCCTGGCCGTGTAGTTCTTTTCCTAAATGATGTAAGGGTGGTTGTAGTCAGGTTCTAGAGCTAATTATGTTGGCCATTGTCAGATACAGTGCTCTGCGTCCTCTGTCTCTCACTTTTTATTAAGATGATCCCAAAATAAGGAATGGTCTGCTGACAGATCCCAGGGAAAGCAGACTGTTAGCTCACACTTAAAAATTATTTGTAAGTGCTAGTTAAACTGCTATAGCCAAATTTTCCCTCCTTCTAATTATCTTCCTTCCTATGTGCAGTATTCCACATTTAGCAAACAAGACCCCAGTCCCCTGAGAAGCAGACTAGGTGCCTCTCATGGCTCACAAAAGCCCTTCTTGTGAAGAACATCTCTCTGTGTTGGCAAAACAGTTCTCAGTCTTGTAATCTCAGCCCAAGCAGCCTCTGGTGCATCTCTGTCCCTGAAATCAAGGACTGTACTTGCACTGAGTCCAGATGGAGCTTGCGGGCAAGTCCCTGGGGTGCACAACTCTGGCTCTTCCTACCTGTCATCCTGGCAGATTGCTACGGGTGTCTGAGGATTTCCTTGAGAGAAATTACTCCCTTGGTCACTGCTCAAGGTTCACCACAGGAAATGCCTCTTGAGGTCAGGGAGCCCAATCCTGGCCAGCCAAAATTCCCACTTCCTTGCTGACTGATACATTATGTGTTTGACTTGGGTGTCTCAGCTGGGGACAGAGAACACTCAAACAGCAGCATTTCTGTTTTGCGTTCGTTTTCTCAGTGGAGTCCATCCATGCAGAAGTTTCCAGTGGGTTATTTCATTAGGGTGGTTTGCAGTGGTGTAAATGGGCAGGAGGGGCTGAGATGGCTGAGTCAGGGGGAGCTGCCTGCGTGGGTGTCAGTGCCAGCCACTTGTGTGGAGTTGATGGGGGAGATGGGAATTTGCAAGTCATGCTCTTGGCACACCTGGTGAGAAGAGCAGCTGCTCCACAGGAAAACACATTTGGTGTCTTGACGACACAGTCCCAGCTGTGAATCAGAAGAAAGGCTTTGCTGCTGTGGCTGGACGTGGGCTGGGTCATTCACCCAAGTGCAAGAACTGGAGCAGCCTTCCCACAGCAGCCAGCTCCCCTGCCTCCCAGCTGGCATGTCGTGCTGCACAGCACTCAGGGACTCTCATCTTAGGTTTAAACCTTTCCCTTCCTTCACTGCATCAGTCCCATAAGAAAGCAACTCTGGTATTTAATTCCAGCAGTGTTCAGGCACAGCTTTCCACTTCCCTCCGAAGCATGCAACAATGGCATGTACTGGCTTTGTCCCTTTGCTGTGCCACTGGTACTTCCTCCAGTGCCTGTGGATAAGGGCAGTTTCCCGCATTCCCTGACTGGATCCGGGTCTTTGCTATGGCAAGAGGACTGGGAGGGCTACACAGTGGTGGGAGGAAGGTGTTGAACTGGAAGGAGCAGTGTTCTGAGCTATGGAAGGTAGGAATGCCTTCATGCCAGAATAACATCTAATAACAACTAACCTGCCTCTACCCCTGCCTAGGCTGTAGATGCAGATGATGTCGCCGCACAGTCACAGGAGCCAGTGGGCGCTTCTTCCCCCGGATTCCACCCTTGGGTACAATTTTTACATTTTTCAGCTCCCCATCTGTGTTCCATTTCAGATGACAGCCTGCTTCTTGGGATTGCTTGATCGCTCTGGTCATTGTGTTCATTCTTTCTGTTTCATCAATTGTTCTTGGGATCCAGACCTTGTTTTTTCTTTGCTGCTTGAAGGGAGTCTCCAAATAAACTCATGTAAACATGAAGAGGATCATTGCACCCACAGCTTCCACTTCTGAAATGTCTGCTGTTGGCAAAAGCACCCTGAGTGCACTGCTTTGTTTTCCCAGTAAAATCACAGTGTCTTGAGTTCAGAGTCGCATTGTGAAACTTGTTTCTTTTGTCCATGTTGTGTTGCAATCATTCTGCCCCGTTTAAAAATCACTTTCTCTTCCAGGCCTTAAGCAACTAAATCCTTTCAGATGGAGCCACTTTGGGTCTTGTGTGCACTACATTGTCTTCCATCCCTTTGTGTTCCATTTTTATCTCTTCCTTTTTTCCAGCATGTCTTCCATCGCGCCGTGTTTGATTTGCTCTGCTCTGCGGTGTGGTGTTGTAAAGGAGAGCTTGGCCGGACACTGCTCTGGTGGAGCCCAGTCCTTGGCTGGCTGCAATAATCACTGCACACTCTCTTCTGCTTGTGCTTGCAGTGGAGTTGCTCAGTGCTCTTTGGCTCTACTAGCCCTTTTGAAGTGACACGTCTTTTTGCTTGCTTTAGGTTACAGAAGAAGCTTACGTCCCTGTTGGAGACATGAACGGCATGGGATTCAGGCCCTTTGATATGGTTATCCCATTTGCTGTAAGGAAAGGAGAAATAACAGGTACCTGGAGTGCCCCTCAGGGAGATTCATGCTTTTTGTTAGTGTGTTTATCCATTTGCAGTAACAGACTGGGTGGTCTAGACCACAGTGTGTGTGGGAGGTTTGTATCCTGCCAGCAATATAGCTGTTTAATTTCACATTGAGTGGCACCCGCTGAGGATGAGTAGGACATGCCCCTTCAATGGTTTGAGTTAAGTGAGGGGATTCTTGGTGTGTTGCTGTGGCCTTAGTGCTAGGCTGTGAGCTATAGGGCCTATTGATGCTTTTTCCCTTCTGGAGCAGCTACATGCATCCCTGGTAAGCTCTATTATTTCTTTTCTGCAGATGCTATAAAGCAGTTAATTCTGCATTCCTGTTACACATACCTTCTCCAAAGCAGGTGATCCCTCTTCTACAGGTCTGGCAGCTGAGAGCATTGCTCCAGTAGCACCCTGGTTGCACTAAGCTCCTACACACAAGGCCTGTGTCCCCTCTGCCCTCTAGCTCAGCAATCCCAACCCAAGCCCTGGCCTGTCCCAGCTTGAAGGAACAGTCAAACTTAGCTTTTCAAAAGTGCAGCAGAAGAGGGAGCACCTTGCTACAAGGTAGATCAGTGCTTTTTATGCAGTTTGCTGTGAAAAGCTCTGTGGCTGCAGCAAACAGCCCTGCCTGTAGAGTTTGTAAGGTCACAGGACTGTTTGCCAGATGTCTACCACTGCCTTGTATTCATGTAGCTTAAGTAGAAAACATGTCTGGTTAGTGTTCCCATTAGTCTCCTATTTGTGCCTGTGGGTAAGGAATTTAACAATTTAAAATGCTTGTTTAAAATGGCTCAACAATTCTCTGTGGGTGGGAGAGGGGAAGCAGGCAGCTTCTCCTTCTGTAACTCCCATGGTGGCCTTTTGTAGGTGAAGTACACATGCCCTCTGGAAAGATGGATACACCAGATATCGTGGATAATAAAGATGGCACAGTAACAGTGAAATATGCTCCTACTGAGGTTGGGCTGCATGAAATGCACATAAAATACATGGGAAATCACATCCCAGGTAAGTCTGACAAAGCAGGCAACGCAAATCTGGGTGCGGAGTCCTGTTGATGCATCTGCTCCCTGGTGAGATTCTTTAGCTAAGTCATACATGCTGTGGAAAGATCTGCCCAGGATATTTTACCATTCAGCAGCTCTTTCTCTGCAAACAGTCCAGAGAGAACTAAAGCAAAGGAGTAAGCGCCAGTACATATGAGCTTCCATTGTGGTTTAATAGTACCAGCCAGGCTTAAAATGGATTTTGGTTTTGGGGAAACTAGCTTTTGTGGCATTTTGTTATGAAGAAGAAACATACAATTTTCTAACTACTAGTTTTTCAGGTTGAAATTTACTGCCATGGTGCTCAACAAAACTACTGGTTACAGTGTGTGTTTATCCTTAAAAACTGTGTTGGCAAAAAATCTCAAAACTGTTGGGAGAACTGATTGGTTGAAATACTATAGTTACTCTTTCCATCTGATTGCAGTAAAATAAAACACACATGCATATTATGCTGTAACCTTTCTTTCTTCCGGGCTGCTTCTTAACAAACAGAAACCACTGCATTTCATTCCATTTCTCTCTTGTCCTTGCTTCACCAGCTCCCCAGTGGAAGCACTGCCTCGCCTGGCTGCCCTGTGGTTCTCCAGCCATGCTGGCTTTGGGGGAGTGGGCAGAAAGGGGCAGACCTGTAGAGGGATGTGTAGATATGAGACAAAATACCTTCAGCACTGCCTGAGAGGGATTGCTGGTTCTGTTTGTACAGAAGCACAGCATAACTTAGGCTGAAGTGGGGAGCTCAGTGATGTGATGTGTGGTGCTGCTTCAGTCTCTTCAGCACTTTATGGATATAGCGCCGCCATAGGTGCTGACCTGTCTCTCTAAGACCATTACGCTGTGCTGGGATAGAAAGATGATGTGCCACAATGTTTCTTTCTGAAAGGTTGTCAGGAATCAAACCTTTTACTGTCTCAACTGCAAAATCTATCTTTGGACTGAGGAGCTATCTGTGCCTTTTTTTGAATCCACTATTGGTTGTTACTGACTGTACTTTTTGTTCTTGTGCACCAGCTTAGCTAATCTGAGGCTGGCAAATACATTTTTGGATGCCCTTCAAATTTGCTAGTTCGGGTTCATTGAGTCAGACAATGTGCTGTGCTAGTTCCTAATTCTGGGCTACCAAAATTCAGAATCAGTGCCTGAACTGAAAGCCTGCTTCTGAGTCATGTTCTGATTTAATGTGCTAAAAATAAACTTGCAGTGAACAAAATGCTTTACAACGTCATTTAAGCTTATCTCTGGTAACTAGAGTAACACTTACTCTTCCATGACTGAATGTAGCACAAATTGTGGAAGAGTGTCTTTTGAGGATGGAAACAGAGGCTTATTTGGTTTTTAAGTGCGTTACAGTCACAGTAAGGTTTTTCAGATACCACGTAATAAGAAGGGCATTCAGGAACATGGATATCAGTTCTTGTAGTCCAGACCACTCGTCCTTACAAGTGCTTCTTTTTGGGTTTCCCCTTTAGAGAGCCCTCTGCAGTTCTATGTCAATTACCCCAACAGTGGCAGTGTGTCTGCTTATGGGCCTGGCCTCATTTATGGGATTGCAAATAAACCAGCAACTTTCACCATTGTCACAGAAGATGCAGGAGAGGGTAAGTCAGTCCTTTAAACCCATCCTACCCTAAACAAGGAACTTCTTGGTAGTGTAATGCACTTTGGCTTTGATTTACAGTCATCTGTCCATCTATAAATCTGTGTGATGTGACACAAACGACTTACGCAATATCAGTGAAAACTGGTTTATTACTCCTTCCTGAGAGCAGTAGATGTACCCTGTGGTACTGGGTGCAAATAATTTGTTCAATTAAAAATAAACTGAAAGCGGCTTAAATCTAGGGGCATGATGTAGCAGCTTAAATCTAGGGGATGATGTCTGGGTGTGGAATCACTGTTCAGTAAATCTAAAGACTGAACAGAGCTGTGGCCTTAGTGGGTTTGTCTGAGCTGGTTTTGCTGCTGTCCTTTGAAAACACACATTTAAGTTCCATTTTCAGTACCAGGTACTGGATATTTCTCTTTGGACCTGGTGTTCACAAAGATTTACAGAAGTGCCACTCTGCTTTTTTCCTAGGTGGGCTGGACTTGGCTATTGAAGGACCTTCAAAAGCAGAGATCAGTTGCATTGATAACAAAGATGGGACATGCACAGTCACGTACCTGCCTACTCTACCTGGGAACTACAGCATCCTGGTAAAATACAATGACAAACACATTCCAGGCAGTCCATTCACAGCCAAGATCACAGGTATGAAGTTTAAACTTCTGGAAGCACTTCATATTAAACATTAACCTCTGATACCATGGGGAACCTGGTTTGTGGCAGGAATTTAAAGTCCTCTGACTTGTTCTGCACTTAACCTTGTAATGTTTTGTGACTCATTTCTCTTTATGTATTCAGATGATAACAGAAGACGGTCTCAGGTTAAGCTTGGTTCTGCTGCTGACTTCATGTTGGATATCAATGAGACTGATCTCAGTCTCCTGACAGCCAGCATTAAAGCCCCGTCTGGTCGTGATGAGCCTTGTCTTCTGAAGAGGCTGCCCAATAACCACATTGGTAAGATCTGACAGATTACTGTGATAGTCTTTACTCCAGTTTGCTTTGCTTTGTAAAATGACTGACTTCTGTGCTCCTTCCCAGAAGAGTGTTGTTGAATCAAGTGGTTGATAGTATTTGCTACAGTTGTCCAAAGACAGAAAAGTATGAAGAGTGGCCTCTTGTCTTAGCTTGCATGTGACGTGCCAGGTTGCAATTGAAGTGGGTTTTGTCAGCATATATGAATGGTCTTGTGGTCCACTTGAGAGCAACATCAGTAAAGAGACTGCTCTTCCAGTATTTCATTTCTTGGTGTGATTAAGGCATTTAAATCAAGTATAACACAAATAAAAACTGAATTAATTTCTCACATTTCTCTGCTTTGTAGGCATCTCATTCATTCCACGGGAAGTAGGAGAACATCTGGTTAGCATCAAGAAAAATGGGAGCCATGTACCAAATAGCCCTGTGACAATCATGGTGGTCCAGTCTGAGATCGGGGATGCCAGACGGGCAAGAGTTTTTGGACGTGGCTTGGTAGAAGGACGAACCTTTGAAATGTGTGACTTCATTGTAGACACAAGAGATGCTGGTTAGTTCCCTCAGAAAGGGTCCATGAAGGACCCTTGCTGTGAGATGTATATATTGACTGTACACAAGAGCACTGCCTCCCTCAGCATGCACCCACCAGGTCACGAGCTGCAAAGCAGCAGCTGCCATTAAGCACAGTCATTGCTGTCAGTTAGTAACCACAGACAGTGCTATTTCAGAATATGCTTTGTAAGGTCCTGGCACGTCTTTGTTACAGCCAAGAGGGACTGTCACTGAGGTGGTGTTGGCTCTAGTATCATTTGATATTGCAAGAAGGAAATGAGGAAGATAGTTATTTCCCTGTCAGTTTAATGTGGAGCCTTGGAACTTTATGGCTTGGTAGATAACTTTTCAACATTATTGAAAGAAAAAGGGATATAGTCAGAGAATTTTAGGAGCTGAATGCATGCTGTGCCTCTGACTGATTAGGAGTACAGAAATGCCATTAAGGCACTGTGCAACTTCCATGTGCACATTGTGATACAAACCTACCAACTAGCACCTGCTATGGCTTTGGACTATTTTGTGTCAGATTTAGACTAGAACTTTGGAAATCTGAAGCTAACTTATTTATATTGTAGGTTATGGTGGGATCTCACTGGCAGTTGAAGGACCCAGCAAGGTAGAGATCCAAACTGAAGATCTAGAAGATGGAACTTGCAAAGTGTCCTATTTTCCAACTGTACCTGGTGTGTACATTGTGTCCACTAAATTTGCAGATGAACATATTCCAGGTAAGCAGAAGTGTTGGGCAAATTTTTAAATAGTACAACAGAAGTCTTACCTGGCTGACCAGGGCTCTGGAGCTGTGGGTGGGCTGTGTGACTTGGCTTGGACCGTAAGTCCCAAAGATTCGAGGAGGTTCTCCCCAGGCAGCAAGCATCCAAAACTGTTCTGGTTACGTGCATGTGTTTGACTTGGGCCTGACTGTTAATTGGGTATAAAAGTTCCCCTATGATTCCCTTCAAGTCAGAGGAAGCTTTCGTTTCTGCCCTCAATGGTGTGTGTAATGAGCAGAGGAGAAATGACTTGCTGTGATACTTACAGGCAGCCCATTCAGCGTGAAGATCAGTGGTGAAGGGAGAGTTAAGGAGAGCATCACACGAACAAGACGGGCTCCTTCTGTTGCAACAGTGGGAAGCATATGTGATCTGAACCTAAAAATCCCAGGTAAGCAGCAATATCCTTATCCCCAAAACCACAACTTGCACTTGTATAGCATGGGGTACATGAGAAAGGGGAAAAAACAGACTTCAGATTTGTAAGGACATCCTCATAGTAACATATCTTAGGGAAGAAACGCTGGTAATGTGTCTTTTCAAGCAGTTAAAAGTAAGCATAACCATGATCAACACATGAAAAAATAAATACTGGTGAGGCCTTAATTTAATTTATTCTGTGTACAGTGGGCTGGAGAATGGGCTGTACATCTCACTTTAGCTCCAGGGTTTTGAGATCATGTTGGCTGTTAAATGTTTGTACTGCTATCTGGAAACATAGAATCATGTAGGCCAAGCTTAGCTGGCTGCACTTATCCAGCCACTTCATCTGCCTCTGTAGCACCTGGGAAGCTGCAGCTGGCCAGGTTTTCTGCTCAGAAGCACACAGATAGCTTCTGTTATTTGTACTGGGTAATCACTTGAGCTCAGGTCCTGCTTCCAAAACCCTTTGTCACTTTCTAATCTGCATTTTTTATTCTCTTGCTAGAAATTGATTGTGCTGATATGACGGCTCAGGTAACCAGTCCCTCTGGTAGAAACTTTGATGCTGAAATTGTAGAGTGTGACAAAAACACCTACTGTGTCCGCTTTGTGCCACAAGAAATGGGGGTCCACACTGTGGATGTCAAATACAAAGGGCAGCCGGTGCCAGGCAGCCCCTTCCAGTTCACCGTGGGGCCGCTGGGCGAGGGAGGAGCCCATAAAGTGAGAGCTGGAGGCCCAGGGCTGGAGCGTGGAGAGACAGGTGTTCCAGGTGAGTCCTCTGCTCCCACTGGGCTCCAGAATCTGCTGTGTGCAGGTCAGCAGTGCAGCATTTTGGCTAACAGGAGCCTCTGAAACTGCTAAGCAGTATTTCCTAGGATGGAGGGATGAGCTGCCATTTTTCAAATATGCTCAAATGGGGAACTTTACAGTCTGTTAGGAGGAAGCTGCAACCCAGCAGCAGCAGCAAACTTACCGTTGTGTGTGCTCTCGTGTGCTTCAACAGCTGAGTTCAGCATATGGACACGGGAAGCTGGAGCAGGAGGGCTGTCTATTGCTGTAGAAGGCCCAAGTAAAGCAGAAATCACCTTTGATGACCATAAAGATGGATCTTGTGGTGCATCATATATAGTTCAAGAGCCAGGTATGTACTGAGACCAAATCACATGGAAACAACACTGATTGTGACTTTCAAAGAAACTAAGAACACTCACTGCTTCTCTTCTCTCTGCAGGCAACTATGAGGTGTCCATAAAATTCAATGATGAGCACATTCCTGAAAGCCCCTACCTGGTTCCTGTCATCGCCCCCTCCGATGATGCTCGCAGGCTCACTGTCACTAGTCTTCAGGTGAGACATAAGGAAACATCTCTACAACTTACCACAGAGACTGATTTCGTCCTTGTTCTCCAAAACCAAAATGGTTGTCCTTTTTTCTGAGTAATAGCCTTGTCTTGGTGCTTGTAGCCAGAGAGATTTTTGGCAGCTGGCCCCTGGGTAACTCTGGCTAGCCAGAGTTTGAAGGCAGAAGGCTCAATTGAGTGTGTTACAAGTGATAACACTTGGGAATTAGGAATAAGAAGCTCCAGAAATAGCATTGGAGGAGCTAAGACATGTTTCCCATGCCATTAGCTAGGGGAAGGACAAGGAGAACTGAAATTTAAAGGTGAACCACTAGTGATCATGCTGGTACCAGGTTCCTCATTTGGCACGTGCATGAAGAGCTGCATTTCCATGGTAGCACAGGGCTGCATAGCTGGGACATCACTGTGGCCTGGCCAGGCAGACAGAGGTGGCCCCACCATCAGGTCAGGGTACAGGATTTGCTCTGGCTGATGCTACAAAACCACAGAGTCACAGCTGAGATGATTCATGAAAGGTAGTGAATCTCAGAGTGAATCACAGCTTTGTAGCTGGTCTGGGTTCATCTGGTAACCTAACCATGTAATTTGTATATGTGTGTGGTTACAGGCATTAAAAGACAAGTAACATTAAAGACCTGACTGAAATATCCAAAGCCAGAAGCTTGGATGTGAGACTGAGAATCTGTGTCTAAATATACTGTACCTCAGTCCTCCTTGAGTGGTGATTAGTACTTCAGTTAAGGCTTTTTTGGGTCGTGTCCCAGCTGTGATCCCCAGGAGTTTGCCTGGGCTGCAGGAATTCTCCACCTCGGCTGTGTAAATGAGCCATGACAGCCTGATCCGGTAGTATCTTTTCTAACTAGGAGTTACAAGGGCGTTAATTAGTCACTGTGGTATTGATGTTTGCCTTGTGTTTCATTTAAAGACTCTTTGACAGGAATACTGACTTCAGTTAAGTCCTGGAGAGGTGGATAAAGCTGAGTATTCTGTAACTGAGTCCATTGTGCAGCATCAGCCTCCACTAAACCCACATCAGAGACTTGTTTATACATTGTACCTCAGTTCTACTCAGTTGCATTTATTTCCCTCTTCAGGATTTAGTTGAAAACAAAATGAGGTAAAGTATGTTAAGTGTGAGATATTACTGCTGCATAGCTGCATGGGCTGTGCTGGTTGAGGACCACTGTGGCTCAGATGTGGAGCTGTGGAGCTGTCTTGCCTTCCACCAATGGCCTGACAGCACCACAACATCTGGTTTCATGTTTTAAATTACTTTCTTATGTTTGAGACATCTTGTGGTGGCGTTCTAAATGCAGCCTCTTGTGGCAAATATAAACATGCATATTACTCTTTCAGACTTTTGGATTATCAGAGGCTTTTCCCTGAATGAATCTGGAATGAATGAATGGGCTGAAAATGGAGCTATAGCTTAAACATCCTTTAAATCAAGCACCTGGGTACCAAGGACTGACCTCGGTGACAATGGATGACTAGTATTGTAAACCTGCCTCTCTTTGATGTGGTACAATTGTCTGGCTTCCAAAAACAGTCTGTTACCATGGGAAAAGTCAGCCTAGCCAACGTGGGTGACTCCTGAATCAGCCACTCCCTAAGAGGGAGAGAGCATCTGATTTGAGAGTTAATTCAAGTCACAACTTTTTGCCTTTTATTAAAATCAAAAAACCCTAATGCTGAAGTGGTTATTTCCCTGCCACAAATCTTATGCTGTCTGAAATCAAAGTTTGAATTTGATAATCTGACTGTTGCATTCTCAGGAGTCTGGATTAAAAGTTAATCAGCCAGCATCCTTTGCTATAAGGCTGAACGGGGCAAAGGGCAAGATCGATGCTAAAGTCCACAGCCCCTCCGGAGCTGTCGAAGAGTGCCATGTGTCTGAGCTGGAGCCAGGTGAGCACAGCTTGATGATGATCAGAACAATTGCATGACCTCCAAAGCACACTTGCTGCCACATCGGGAATTCAGTTCCTTTGGCTTATGAATAGTGTGTCCCAAGGATGAGCATGTTGCTTGGAAAATGACTTTTTGGTGTCAAGAGCTGTTCAGTCAGGGTTATGTCCGTGTTTTTCCATGAACTGACTGAGCCCCAGCTTGTGTAAGATAGAGGTATTTAAGTCTTGGCTTGCCAGTGAAGGTACAGTGACATTAGTAATAAATTAAATATTATGTGGTTGTTGAATTTAACTAGGGAAGAAGTTTATTTCTCAAAGTCATGCTTCGATCTTTGACTAATAGTTTATGTTTAACTCACACTCACTCCTTCACATGAAATGTCAAGGAGGCTGTCTATAAGCAAACACTACAGAAAGCTCAACACCTGTTTCAGCAATGAGCTTTTCTTTTTCACTTGAAGTCTGTATGAGTTATGGTCTGTACTCTGAACAAACAGCAGCTGTCCAGCTGGGGGAGATCAGTCCCGCCTCTGAGTTAACACACAATCAAAAATGTGAAATATCAGCAAATTACTAAATTACTTCATTGGATAAAGGTGTGGTGTCAGAGCAGCACACTCAGCTTGCTGGTAAGATTTGGCTTGCTCTGACCAGCTGCTTTTCTTCTACACACGGCTCCCTCAGCTGCCAGCAGAATGGGCTGTGATTCAGTTTTCATGTTGAGTGCATGAGTGAGGCAAATAATCCTCAGACTAGATGACAGTTGAGATCAGGTCCTAGTGAATAAGGTGAAAACACAAGCTGTAAAACCTTCTGTGAGAAATACAGCATTTTCCTGCTTAATTACAAGTTTAGCAGCTCATGTAGCTGAGTTCACTTAAACTGGGACCAAAATATGTCAAAGTCTTCCAGAAGCTCGGATTGCTGATCAGCCCTACGTTGGGTCTAATTGGTGGTTTCTGGTTGGATTGTTGCCTCTGGTTGGTCAGAAGAGCCCCTTCTCTGTTGCAGATAAATACGCTGTTCGGTTCATCCCCCACGAGAACGGCGTCCACTCCATCGATGTGAAGTTCAACGGGAGCCACGTGGTGGGCAGCCCTTTCAAAGTGCGCGTGGGCGAGCCCGGCCAGGCGGGAAACCCTGCCCTTGTCACAGCCTACGGATCCGGCCTGGAGGGCGGCACCACGGGTAACCCTTCTCTGCAGACCTGCTTGCACTGGGGCTTTGAGACGTACAGACCTGTTTCTAGGCATACTTTTACATGACTTCACCTGCTAAGGCAGCTGAACTAACCCACATTCTCTGCTGACCTGAGTGCAGGCTAATTTTGCTTTCTAGCATGCTCCTCATGTCTTATAACCATCACTCACAAGCCTGCAGCTATACTGAGCCTTAACAAACTTAAAACTTAGTAAATCAGCAACTGCAACACGCATTCACTGAACTGCTGGTTAGCAGCTGGGCTACAGCTCTGCTGGTTAGCTGAGCTCCACGTCGGTGGTCCCTCGAGCTCCAGAGATGCTCTGGCTCCCTTCCACACATGAACATGATGTCTGAGTTGGCTGTCTAGAGATGAAGGAATCTTGTTTAACTTGTGTTAATTAAATGGGTATGAGGGTGTTACCTTCCATGCTAGCTTCCCTTTGGTGCTTGCACCTCTAAGAAATCTCAAGTGAAATGCAGTAGGATATGTAAACCCTAGGGAGAAGGTGGGTTGTTCTGTTGGTAGTGTGCTATTCGTGCTCCAGATGCAGCTTGAACAGTCTCTTGGAAATCTGGCACCTTGTTGTCTGCTGTGGCTGCCTCATCTGATAGTTCTCAGCTCAAGAATGTAGGGTTTAGGGTTTGTTTTTTCATTTCTATGATTTGTGGCCTTTGTAAGTACGAAAACATTCCAGGATATGCACTTTGATTTATTTGTGTTCTTGCTCAGGCCACACACACAGGTAAATAGAGTAAAATGATTATTTTTCTCTCCTTTTGTAGTGTAAGGGAATAGCTAGTTCATTTTGTCCTATCCACTGCTGTCTGCTGTGGATTCCATCTCATACCTTTTTTCTCCCTGTGAAAAAAAAATACTGCAGTTATTCAGTCAAAGCTTCTGCTGTTCTGGAAGAACTAAGCAGTTGGTTTTGGAAACATGCATATACACTCTATAAAATAAAGATGTAGCTTGAGCTCCTTTAATAGGTGGAAACAAAAGCACTCATTAATACCAGCCGGTGATGCATCAGGGACAGGGGAATATTTCTTCATCTATAAAGGTGCTTGGGGTTGTTTTTAATCTAAATAGACTGTTTAATTTCAGCAAAGCTGCTCTGTGCCCCGTTGTTGAATCCTGGCCACTGCCAAAAGCACAGTGCCCTGGGAGCTGCTGAGCAGCATTTCAGAACAATGACCCAGTGTAGGGGTTTGTGGCTGAGCACCTGAGCCGTGCCCCTGGGAGGGCTGAGCGTCTGCAGCCTCCAACAATGCGAGCCTTCATCTGGGGCACAGCAGAGAGCAGCGCCTCTGGAGCAAGAGCTCTCACTGAGAAGCTGTGAGGCTTGCTGGCTTTGAGAATTAACTTCTCTCCAGTTGAACAGGGCATTGCAGGCTGATGCCTGGCCTCCCGGGCTGGTGGTGCCAGGGGGATGGGCTGCTGGAGCACTGGAAAATGGCATAATCCTCTGTGGGAGCTGGGCTCTTCCAGCGTTGCGACACAGCAACCTCTTTTGTGGGGAGGCTAGAAACTTCTGAGTTTATTCCCACATTTTCTTGCTTCCATCGCAGCAGCAGTAAACTTTCCCATGGCCATCCTGGTTTTGAGTGTGCCTGAGCACTTTATTCCTCCTCAACAGTGTCTCATGCAACAGCCCAAAGATCATAAATATTTGAGGCCAGAGTCTGACAGTAAATTATTTGGGGGCTGAAAGCCTTACTTAATTTTTTCTTGTGTTGCTGGCATTGTGTCATTGGCTTAGTATTAGCAGCAATAATTCAGCTGTGTTAACCAGATGCTGTAATTAAACAAGCTTTTGTTTCCACAAACTGCTGGGAGTGCTGTTGCCGAGCAGTTCAAACACACATCTCCTCCAGGCCATCTCCTGCCCCTTGTCCTTCCTGCTTTCTTGTGGGCTCTTCACTGCTGATTTGCAGTCCAGGCAGCAAGACATCTCTGAACTCACTCAAACTTAGCCATGCTGGAGCTATGTGGGTGTGGACTCTGATGCCCAGCAGAAAAGCTCTTGTTTTCTCTCTAAGCCAGTTTTTTGATACCAAATTACTTCTATTTGAGTCCTGAATGGCTGTCATGACCCCTTTTCCCACACAGTCACATAACCTAATTGGAGGAGGGAGCAGGACGAAGCTGGGGAGGCTGCCAGGGGTGCAGAGCTCCATTTGGGGCTGGCCTGAGTGAGGCTGCTGGGGTGGATGTGGTGTCCCTCCCTGCCTGAAGCCCTGGGAGACTGATCTTGTGCCGAATGACCCCGTATTTAATGCCTGAGGCTGCGTGTGTAACATCGGGTATGAGGAAGAGTGTGTCTCACTGTGCTACGTCTTTCTAGGACTGCAGTCGGAGTTTTTCATTAACACGACCAAGGCTGGTCCAGGTACCCTCTCTGTTACAATTGAAGGGCCATCAAAGGTGAAAATGGACTGCCAGGAAACTCCAGAAGGTTACAAAGTCATGTACACACCCATGGCTCCAGGAAACTATTTAATTGGAGTTAAATATGGTGGACCTAACCACATAGTGGGCAGCCCTTTCAAGGCAAAGGTTACAGGTAAAAAGCTAACTAGTATTTACTCTGTGCCTGAAGTAGGTCGTGTCATTCAGCAAAAAAATCCTCCCGAGACAATGTGGTATTCTGGTCTAGATGCCCAAAACCATGAGAAGAAAAACATTTCTCCCCATCACCTCCAAAGCCTAGATGAGGGGTCTCAGGAGCAGCTACAAAAGCCGCAGTCGCAGAGCTTGGCAGCTTGACTCAGTGATGGGTCATAAAACAGTTTTATGGGGTAATATTAAGTCCTGATCTAGTGCTAGGGTCTTGCGTGGGTCACAGGGAAATATGACTTATTTACCCATTTCCCCCCACCCTCAAAGCCTGAAACCTGCTCACCTGTAGCATGTGTTGCCTCTCTTGGTCTCATTTTGGTGCAGGTATCACCTAGCCAAAGGTCAGTAATGCCTGGGAGGCTCCTAGGTGGAGTCAGGAAGGCTGGTTTAGGAAGCTTGTTCTCTCTCCAGCACTGTGTTTGAGCACAGGCTGAAGCTCATCTCTACTCCTCCCCCTGAGCTTGTGAAACCCTCTTGTGGTGCCCATAGCGTGGTGATGTTTTCGGGAGAGGGTGGCAAGGACTGCGCTCCCCCAGGCTGGGACATGCTCTGCTTTCAAAATGGGTTATTGCAAAATTGCACCTGCTTTTCTGCCAACTCAAGTCATTTTTGGCATTTGGTGATTGGAGCACAATTAACTCTTCTTAAGCAATCTGCTTTGCTTAATGAATCCTGAAGTTCCTGTGGTCCTTTAGCCACTTGAGGGCTCTGGGATGGGATTGTTGCCAGTGGTGCTGGAAGATGTCAGCTTAAAAACCCAAGTAGGAAATTGCTCCTCTGCAAAAATGCATTTTGGATGCAGAATGCATGCTAGTCATTAGGAGGGTTTTGAAACCTCCTTCTGAATGCCTTTCAGATGGGGCAAATCTGAATGTTAGAAAACTTTTCTGTTTCCAGGGCAGCGACTGGTTAGTCCAGGCAGTGCCAACGAAACCTCTTCCATCCTGGTAGAGTCAGTGACAAGGTCATCAACTGAAACTTGCTATAGCGCCATTCCCAAATCCACCTCGGATGCCAGCAAAGTGGTTTCCCGGGGAGCAGGACTCTCAAAGGCTTTTGTGGGTCAGAAAAGCTCCTTCTCTGTGGACTGCAGCAAAGCAGGTATGGATACAGGAACCAGATGGGTGTTCAGGATTGGTGGTTTATCTGAGCATCTTTTTTTCCATAAACCAACTTGCAGGGTTAAAATTCAGAGCTTGGGGTTATGATCTGGTACTAAGGAAAAGTGCTAAATACTATACTGTGCTCACCACGTCAGTCCTAATACAGAGGCTGTAAATTCCTCTCCAAATGGGTTAGTCTGAGCCAGGTGCACCTGAAAGAACCACAGGATTATGGCATGAGAACAAACAGGTTGCTGAACTTAAGCAGCCCTTGTGGTGCATTGTAGCATGTAATGCACAGTGTTCCTGTTACCTTTCGATGCTCATCGTCATCACTGTCTGGGAGCTCTGTGGTGGGTGGATTACAGGCCAGCTGTGTCCGCTGGGCCCTGCTATTAACTTCTGATGAAGTACTTGTAAAGCAATACCAGCTTGTTTTCACAAGCAGCATTGATGTCTCCTGTGCTCTACTTAGTGGTAACCTGTCAGGTCTGGCAAATAGCACAGATAAACTTTCACCTCTATGAGGCTGAAAGCTTTTTCAATATAAAATTCCTTCTTACACCAAATTAATCTTAGGTATGGTTCAGCTACCACTCTGTGAATTAAAATAACAAAATCCATGTGTTACAGAGCCAATATATTATGATACAACCACTCTGCCTTGTTTAAGCTCAGGGATATTAACAGTTGTGTCTTTTGCTATAGGTTCCAACATGCTGTTAGTTGGCGTCCACGGACCTACAATACCATGCGAAGAGGTGTCCATCAAGCATTTGGGCAGCCATCAGTACAACGTCACTTATGTTGTCAAGGAAAGGGGGGACTATGTGCTGGCAGTGAAGTGGGGTGACGAGCACATTCCTGGGAGTCCCTTCCATGTCACCGTTCCATAGGCGCGCTGTCGGGCGATCCCTGCGTTCGCAGTTCGTGTAGAGTTGTACTGGGTGCAGCCGTGGTGCAAAATGCAGTTTCTAGATACACACGGCTCACATTTCAATAGTCAGACATAAATTCTAACTGTTTTTACAAGCATTTCACTTCTATCCTACTTACCAACCTAATGTCAATTTATTTAATATCTCCTCAAATTGTACCTTTGTAGTACAGTCCGGGTCACTCTTAATGTTTGGAGAATCACGTGGATGAGTAGACACTAATTTCCCTTGCGGATGTTAAAGACTTTAGATGTTAATTGAAAACTGGAATTTGTCTTTGTAATTGGGTATCTTAACTACTGATTTTATTTGACTGGAGACCTTACGTTTTAGTTATGGAATATGACTTGGGCTGTCCCCAGTTCAAATTCTTTTCTGTAAAGAAATGAGGTAAAACTGGTACTATAGTAGGTGCCTTTGTATACTTGATCAACTTTAATGCTTAACATTATAAAAAGCTATTAAAAGTAGCTTTACCACTCAAATTTAAAATGTTTCTGAAAATGCTTTGCCAATGGTTTACATTTAGGAAAAGTTTATCTTTTATAGCAAACCAAAAGCAAATTGAAAATTACTTCGTGTAAGCGTTCAGCCTCTCTATGTTAACGCTTTGTAACTCTAGAGACAGATAGCTTTTTGGCCATAATGCTAGTAATGCGGTTTTTTATGAGCTTGGGATGCTGGTGATGTTTCTTCAACTTTACAGGTAACCCTCTCCCACTGTTTTTAAGAACAAGCCCTGGGTTGGCTGGGATAAGTAAAGCCCCTGAACTTGCCAAGCCAGGCATGGCTGTCACCTGTGTGACCCAGAGTCACTGCAGTCCAGAGCACCAGGGTGTGTTGAGGAGATGACCATTGGTTTCCCTGGAGGCTGCAGGCCAGGCCAGTGTCTGAGATGAGGCAAAGAAGCCATCCTGGGAATGGGACCCACATCTGCAGTGGGACACAGGGTGGGTCTGTGAAGTTACCAGTAATAGCAATACCAGTAATAGCAATATCAATGAACAAACCCCTCTTTGGTGCAAGGTGTTTTATTGTATCTCAGTCCAAGGACATGCCTGAAGCAAACTCAGCTCTCCTGAAAACTCCTTTGTGCTGCAACAGGCATTGCTGCTGAGGGTTAGGGAGTGGAAACTTCCTTGTAACTTGTCTGTTTGTCCCGGATTACTCCATACTACTTCCCAGGTGCATATCTGAATTGCTGCCAGCTGCTGGGGCTTTAGTAAACTCTCCTGATGAGCTCAAACTCTGCAGTTTGGAGAAGGTAGGATTTGTTGAAAACCTGTTGACATGTCACTGTCCCTTGGGAGAAGTTCATGCTTATGGTTCTGTAATTACGTGTGGATGTACTGCTCTCCAGCACAGTTACTGGCAAAAAAAGGAAGGTTGGGGGTTTTTTTTACTGTGCTTTTTTAGTGCCTTAATGTGAAATGCTCACTACATTGTAAACTAGAAAGTAAAAACAAAATAAACTGGAATAAAATGCAGGATTGTAAAATTGTATCTTATAACTTATTAAATAGAAATGTTTGCTTCATTAAAATGTGCATGTTAAAAATAACATCTGATTCTTTTCATATGTAGTCAGTAAAGTTCAGACTGAAACTGACACTACACCACACAGCAGCTTCAGGCAGACCAAATACCATATGGGCTGTGCAGGTAGCCATGAAAATTTGGGCAGAACCTCAACACCATTGATTTTTTTTCCCCTGAAACCTTTTTTTTTTTTTTTTTTTTCCCTTAAAACAAAATGGCAGAAGTTTAAGCCATACATAAATGTGCAGGGTGCAGTGGGCACAGTGTGATGGAGCACTGCACAGCTGTGCTGGTTTGCCCCTGTGCAGACCCCAGGCACGGGGCAGGGCTGTGTCCCTGGAGCTGCCACCTGGGCTGTGATCCCAGGGCGCTCCCGCAGCCGCTGCTCCCCGGGATCCCGGGGGTTGTTTGCAGAAGGTGTCTCCCTGCACCTGGGGCCAGCACCTCCAGGCACAGCCATGGAAACCAGCAGATGTTTTCCCAAACACTCTCCTGCTGAAAGCCCCCATGAAACCTGAGATGCAGTGGCTGCCAAGGACTTTCCTGCCCCAGGCTTATCAGATTATTTCCTCTTTATAGTTAACTCATTAGCCTCGTGGTAGATATGTCATCGTGAGCCTCCTATTCAGTGTTTTAAACAAAACAAGCCTGGATACAGCTGTTGGTGTGAGTAAACCTTGAGAGCATCTCACCTGCATAACTCCTATGTCCAGTCCAGCCTGTGCTTGTCTGGCCTTCTCTTGCCTGTTGTCCTTTGTCTTGGTTTAATGACACTGGCTGAAATTAGGAGGAATTGTCTGTGAAGTTGAGGGACCCTGGTTGCTACTGTGGCTGGGGTTACCTCCGGTAAAAGCTGAGCTCTGCTTCAAGTGACCAACTCTGCCTGGCCTGGGCACTGACAGCTGTGGAGTGGCCACAAAAATGACCTTGCTAAGGACAGCAAGCATGCAGTGGTGATGATGAGAAGAGCTTCTTGGCAGGGTTGATTTTGGACAACAACATTCAGCTACCTCCAGCAGCTCTGCCAGCTGAGGACTGACTGTGTTGGGCACGGATCCGTGCTTTGGGGAACATTCTGCTCTGCTTTTGGCACCTTGACCAAGGTTTCTAAGTGCAGTGGCTACCCTTAGCAAGCTGGGGTGTTGTGTACATGTTACTGGTGTCCCAGTGCCTCCTGCTGGGCAGACTTGCAATGGTACAAGATGCACTTCAGACTCCCTCTTCAGACCCATCTGACTGTCCATGGCCTTGGCTCTGTGTTTCTGATGGCCATCTCTGCAGCCAGCATGGCAATACCTCATATACTGGGATGTTGCATGCAAAACTGATAATTGCATTTTGCCTTGTGCAGCTGTATCTCTAATAAATATATGCATTTAAATTATTTTAATAGCTTTCACTTTTAAATGTTTGATATTATTTAAATTATTTAAATATTTATTTAATAGTTCAAATTATTTAATCTTTACATAATTAATCTTTAAATCTTTATATAATTAATCCTTGAATCATTATATATATGTGTGTATATATAGATATGTGTGTGTAAAGGTGTTCCAGTATACTTAATTTTTTTTTTTTGTGTATCTGCAGTGGTCAGTTTCCAGGCCTGGGCCTGTACAGAGCACTTTGTGTGTCCAAGCTGGATCTCCCTTCACCTCTCAAAAGCCCTGACCTGCTCTGATGTCAGCCAGGCACATTTACAATGTGGGTGCTAGGGCTGTTGCTTAGCAGGGCTCTGGGTTTGGTAAGATTATGCAAACCCTGTAATTACTTTTCCTTCTAATTGTCTGCTGAAAGTGAGATTGTGACATTTCTAATACAGAAACTGGGGTTTTTTTCTCTATTCACTTTTAGCTTCTGCATTTATTTGTTTTAAATTTATTTTTTTTTTCTAACTAATTTTTACTCCACATTGAAATGTACTTGCAGTGCAGACAATGCACTTTTTTCACCTGAAAAAAAGGGGAACAAGCTATGTATAAATCACATGGAAAAGCCTACCGAAAGTGGTTACAGGCATTGCTTGACAGAAACTGGCAAGGAGTTGCATGAAACTTAATTCAGGGAATGGCACAATGCTTTTTTACACAGTGTTTTTTATTTGTTCGAGGAAAGACTTTCCAAACCATGTGCTATTATGCTAGCTGGCTGTGCCATGCTCTCCCACGAGCCAAATGAAACTGGCTGCCCAGTTGTCCTCTGCTAGGTCAGGGACAGCTCAGGCACACAAGGAATGGGCCTTGCAAAGTTGCTGGCAGCATCCCGAGGTGTTTATCTGTGCTTTGTGCCAGCTGGCTTGGAGGATCTTCTTTTTCTGACTTTTTTTTTCTTATTTATTGCATCTCCTGTCTACATCCAGAGCAGCAGAAAGGAGCATTCGGAATTTTGCTGCCGAAAGCAGCGGTGCAGAACATGCACTGGAGCACCCAGCCTTGCTGGGACTAAACCCACTGGGTGCCTGAACATTTCCGCATCAAACTCCCAAACTCCTCTAAACAAATGTTTATTTTAAAAGTATTTTTTCCTTGTGTTACAGTAACTGAGAGATATTCCCATCCCAGGTGCCGTATCTTCACAGCTCTATTTGAGCTGGAAAAGTGGCAGGGAGAGCTACAGCATTTTTCTTCCTCTACAGCCTTCAGTAATGGTTAATATTCTCAGGTCCCTTTCACTGAAGGTTATCAAAACAGCCCTGCTGCCAGGCCCCCTCTCTTGTGTGGGGCTGTTTCCCCAGGGCCTCCTGAGAAAAGGCTTTTAAATGGCTTTTCAGAATTTCTCAGACTTTCAGAGTTAATTTTCATAGTTGCGAATTTATATTGCAGGCTTAGAAGAAATATTGTCACTAAATCAGGTTGGATTTATAGCTCCTGTCGCTGTTAATTTGACTGAGATTTAAAGCACATTTTTTAAATGACATGAATGAAAGGCTAGTATATATGATTTTTAAAAAAAATTAATAGGAAAATATGATCTAGCAGGACCTAGAGGTATGTTTGACAGCTCTTTCCTGTGCTGAGCTCCCTTTCTGCAAGACCTTGGTACTGCAAATATTTACATCCCTGCTGAGTTGGAAGGCTGAGTCCTTTGGGCCCCACGGAGGAGCTTGCCTTGCCAGGGTGGATATTTCCTTCTGACAGTGATGTCCAGCTAGGGTGTTTTGTTTGGGGGCTGGGATTTTGTATCTGGCTTCCCCAAAAATGGGGGAAGGTTGGGCTGGGGTCAGGTTCTCCTCTCCTCCCAACAGAGAGGCACAGAAAGCCTTCATATCTCAATGCCAGCATTTGCAGAGCTTTTCAGGGAAGGCTTTTTGTTACTTTGCCAAAATGGAAATTAATTCTTATAAATCTGTCTTCTCTCTACCAGAAAATTGCCCCTGCAAACTGTGACAGCTGAGACTCTATATTTAAAATTACACACAAAGTATTTAACCTTGTTTTTCACACTGGCTGGAAAACCAGCCTGTAGTTAAAGGGCATTTGTGGTTTTATACCAGGTGAGAGTGCAGAGGTTGTGTCCCTGAACTGTCAGGATGATGGAGAGGAATGTGAGCTAAACCCAGCTCAGGGAGGTCAAGGTTGGATATTAGGAAAAGTTTTTTCATGCAGAGCGTGGATGAGCACAGGAAAAGACTCCCTAGGCACATGGTCATGGCCCCAAGCCTGTCAGAGTTCACAAACCTTTGGACAGTGTTCTCAGGCACATGATGTGAATTTTGGGGTTGTTGTGTGCAGGGTCAGGAGCCGGATTCAGTGATGTTTGTGGGTCTCTTTCAACTCAGGTATTCTGTGATTCTGTAGTTGCAGAAAGAGCCTCTGATCCAAACTGATTGCAGTTTCCCCTGGCACTGGAAAAGGGGTCAGTGGCACTGGTGCCAGAACAGCCACATCTTTCCCAAAACCAGGTACAAAGCACCAAAGAGCAGCAGCAGAGTCACTAGAGCCATCCCAGGGGTTGGACAGGAGGCAGGGCTGCGGTCACTGCCGGCCCAAGCCAGCTGCCTGGTGCAGCTATGGCAGGGACACCAAGGGCTCCCAGGGCTGGCTGTGCCCTGTACCCTGCCAGCACCTGGTCCTGGGAGCTGCTGCCACCTCGTGAGGCTCATCACAGCATGTTTCCCAGTTAAATAACTGTGGGCAGTGAATAACCAGACCTCAAGCCAACAAAGTGCCCCCTTTCATGTAGAAACACGGTGGGCCCGGGGACTCCTTGGGGTCAGCCATGCGCTGTCCGCAGTGAATGGAGACATCTGTGTGCAGAACACGGGGTGATGCAGATCCATGAGGGGGTGTAATTCCCTTTCCTTGCCGCGGCTGAGTTTGCTGAGGGTGTGGGTGTGAGTTCCCGGGCATGCCGGGCCGTGCAGCGCCGCCGCCAGAGGGCCGGTAATGGCCGTGTGCTCCCGGCAGGCCCGGCGGCAGCGAAACCGCGTTCGTACCGCGGGCAAGGAGCTGAGGGCAGCCCGCTGGGGCTTTTAACCGTCCACAGATGGAGGGGGGGAAGGTGGTTTTTAAAACTGTTTTTCTTTTGACTAGAGGCAGGAGAAAGGTGAGTGCTGCCCTCACCTCCTCCCCAGCTCCCAGGCTTGCTTGGCAGAGGAAAGCGCCGCAGGACCACGGAGCTCTGGGCTACAGGGGCGCTGAGAGAAGCTCCCCTGGAGTGCCTCATGAGCACTCCTGCCCCCGCAAGCCCCTGCTCCACTCGTGCTCCTGTTCCGTGGCAAATGCTTGAGTGGCCAGCTCCAGCCTGGGCCACAAGTGCTCCTCACAATCCCTCCCGAGGCTGAGGGAGCCATGGAACAGCCGAGCTGGGACCAGCTGCTGCTGTCACACTGGTAGGCTCTTTGATTTTTCTGCCTTTGATTTTGCTGTCGGTGCCACCAGCCCTGCTGTGTGACAGCACAGCACAGCCCTTGTGGGAGCTGCAGCTGTTTCCTGCACATCTGTATGTGGCCAAACATCTGTACGTGTGTACATCTGCTCTGGGACACAATTTTATGGGGAGTAGCTGGGGCAGGTGGGC